TAACATAATCACTTAATTTAAATTTTCTCTTAGATATATTTCCTAATCTTTCCGATTTTTCGAAGTATATATAATAATCCATCCCTTCAATAATTTAAATGAATGTAATTGATTATGGTTCTGATATTCTAGTTGTTAATCATATAAAATGTAAATTCTAAAATTAAGAGATTTCTCGTTAATTTCTTGAACATATAAAATATTATTTTTTGGCAATTATATGATAATAATTGGCTTAAAATTGATTAGACTACTCCTCGAATTGATTATAGTTTTTTCCTAATATTCAAATTAATCAGCAATAAGTTAATTTATCATGGAAATAAATATTACATGATTTTCTAATAGCAGTTTTTTTATATTTCTTAAATTCTCTCTCTAATAACAAATGAACATAATTTCTTACTCAAAATTTTTATCAAAAGTTTTAAAACTAAGGGAAATTCTGAATATGAAATGACTTTAGGCCACAAAAAAAAAAGGGACTCTCTATAATTACCAAATATTGAATGAAAATATTCGCGAAGTTAAAAAATTCCCATTTGATTTTAATTTTTGATGTTGTGATGTACTTTAAATTGGCCTGAAATACTTAAATATTCAAACAACTCTTATTCTAAACTAAATATATATTTTAAATATTTGTAAGCTTTAAAAAATTGGACTTATTTGTGTTTAATTTATATTGATCTACTTTTAAATAAATTTTCTGATTTGCCACTTGTATAAAATTATTTTAAGAAATAATTATGATTGTGTTTTTTGACATCTGACATTAAAGTTTCCATTCTACCTCTTCTAATTGACTTGCTACAATATCTTCTCCACCTAAAAATATATGATTTGAGAGTATTATACAATTAGTTTAATAATTATTTTTGTAATGTTTTATCTTCACTTGAAGATCTTTCATTAAACTTTTTATTTGAAAATATTTATTATGATTTAAATTCTAATCTGGTAGATATCTGAACATTCTAAAAATTCTGAACCAATTTAAAAGTATTATTCTAATTTAAATATCCTTAGTATTGATGAATTGATACTCAAAATACTAATTTTAAAAACTAAAATGAACAGCAACACAATTAAATTATTTTAAGAAATATTAGATCTAAAATAAATACAATAAGCGAAATATATTATTTATATCATATTTTCCAAATACTACCCTATAATACTATAATAAAATGTAATTTATGAATGAAAATACAAAACTAACAAGTAAATAAACCATCTATTTTTTTTATGAGAATTTTAATTTAAATAATAATATCTTTAAAATGCAAATTAAACTAATTGAGTCCAACTATTAAAAATAATGGGTTTGGATCGAACAATTTTGAAAAAGTCTTACTTATAAAAATTATCATTTATCAAAACAATATCATGAAACAAAATAAAAATTATTACAAAGACCATATAGCCAAAATAATTTGCAAACAACATATTCTTTAACCTAATATTCATATTGCAGTTTTTTATATGATTTATCTAACTTATTATTTTATTTCATTCTAATTATTAAAAATGATTTAAGTTTTAAATTTGAAAAGAAATTACATTCATAATAAATCAAATAACCTTATTATGACAATAGATTGATAGATTTTCTTTACATTTATCAGAAAAAAATCTTAAGAAAATCTCCCTAACATTTTAGTTTTTCATTGAGAATGCTTATTCTAATACTATTTCAGAATTCATCAGTAGGTATCAATAATTGAATCTGAAAAATACTTACATATTTTAGTTGGATAAATCTGTTAATCATCATATCGTTTTTTAATTTAATACATATTGTTAAATAATTAAGGGGATGGAAAAAACCTTTTAAAAAGAATTTGCAAATCCGTTAAATATTGAATTTTTGAAATAAACCTCCCTAGGGCTTAGTAGAATTAAGGCCCTTTAGGCTACAAAATACAATTAAACATTTATATATATTTTATGTTTAAATTGAAAATGAATGTGATTACTTGAAACCATTGATGAGTGAATATGGTAAAATAATACTAAAGAAATCAAATTAAAATGGAATTCTGGAATTATCATAATTTATAAAATTAATAAGATAAAAAAAATGCTATCAAATACTATTTTAGTGATGTTTCTCTATTAATACAAAAAATAATATCAATCTCTACAATGCATCAAAATTCTAAACAAATGGAGCTTGTTTGGTTAATATTATTCAAAATCTGTAAAAAATGGTTAATAGGATAAGTTTTGTCATAAGACAAGATTAGAAAAAAATTACAAATTATTATGCTTTAAAGTTGGAATTTGAAAATTGAATTCAAGAATTTTCATTTCTTAAATTATTTTGAGTATACCACAAACATTATTAGAAATCGGCTAATATCATCTGATATCATAAAATTTTTAAGAACAAATTAAAATTTTAAAATATCAGAATAAAATAAAATGTTTGTATCTACTTATAGAGAATCTGTTATAAAAAATTATTAATTATCTCTTCTTTTAATATTGAATTAATAACATAATTAATATTTTTAAAATCATTGTTAAACATAAAAAGAACTTAATCGAAGGTAATTTATTATAATAATGAGAATTTTAAGTTATTGAGACATCATAGTAATGTTATTTGCAATATAATTATAGATATAAATAATAATAATATTTTATTTTCTTCAAGCTCTGCTAATGATCATATAGAAAATAATAACTAAACAAAAGTTCAAATTTTATTTATATGAAAATATAAAAAATATTTATTAGAGAAGTTCCAATTGATAATAAAAAGAATAAAGGATATTTTTACTTCTTAGTGTAAATCAGAGTTCAAAAATATATATTTTGAAGGGAGAAGCCAATTATAAGATTTGGAGTTAAAGATCATTAAGATTCAATCATCTTTCTTTTTTAAAATTAAATCATTAAAAAATATGGTTCTCAAAATCTGAAAGAATATGTGAAATGAATTATATAAACCGTAGTCAAAACGTAATGTTTTTGATTTATTTTGGAAGAAAGGAAAAATGTAAGAATGCAAATAAAAATTCTTCTTAAAATGAAATAAAAAGATTCATCGTTGATTGACTAATATATAAATTAAGTAATAAAAAGCTCACATCCCAAAAGTTTTTCTAATTTATTATAATATTTCATGCTTTTATATATTCATATGCTTATGGGATTATTCGATTGCACCATTCCATTTCATTTGCANTTAAAATGGAATTCTGGAATTATCATAATTTATAAAATTAATAAGATAAAAAAAATGCTATCAAATACTATTTTAGTGATGTTTCTCTATTAATACAAAAAATAATATCAATCTCTACAATGCATCAAAATTCTAAACAAATGGAGCTTGTTTGGTTAATATTATTCAAAATCTGTAAAAAATGGTTAATAGGATAAGTTTTGTCATAAGACAAGATTAGAAAAAAATTACAAATTATTATGCTTTAAAGTTGGAATTTGAAAATTGAATTCAAGAATTTTCATTTCTTAAATTATTTTGAGTATACCACAAACATTATTAGAAATCGGCTAATATCATCTGATATCATAAAATTTTTAAGAACAAATTAAAATTTTAAAATATCAGAATAAAATAAAATGTTTGTATCTACTTATAGAGAATCTGTTATAAAAAATTATTAATTATCTCTTCTTTTAATATTGAATTAATAACATAATTAATATTTTTAAAATCATTGTTAAACATAAAAAGAACTTAATCGAAGGTAATTTATTATAATAATGAGAATTTTAAGTTATTGAGACATCATAGTAATGTTATTTGCAATATAATTATAGATATAAATAATAATAATATTTTATTTTCTTCAAGCTCTGCTAATGATCATATAGAAAATAATAACTAAACAAAAGTTCAAATTTTATTTATATGAAAATATAAAAAATATTTATTAGAGAAGTTCCAATTGATAATAAAAAGAATAAAGGATATTTTTACTTCTTAGTGTAAATCAGAGTTCAAAAATATATATTTTGAAGGGAGAAGCCAATTATAAGATTTGGAGTTAAAGATCATTAAGATTCAATCATCTTTCTTTTTTAAAATTAAATCATTAAAAAATATGGTTCTCAAAATCTGAAAGAATATGTGAAATGAATTATATAAACCGTAGTCAAAACGTAATGTTTTTGATTTATTTTGGAAGAAAGGAAAAATGTAAGAATGCAAATAAAAATTCTTCTTAAAATGAAATAAAAAGATTCATCGTTGATTGACTAATATATAAATTAAGTAATAAAAAGCTCACATCCCAAAAGTTTTTCTAATTTATTATAATATTTCATGCTTTTATATATTCATATGCTTATGGGATTATTCGATTGCACCATTCCATTTCATTTGCAATAATTTCTTATATGGCAAATATAACATTATAGAAATGCTTATCAAGTAAATAATAGCAATAGGAATTGCTCCTACAATACATTAAGATTTGTATTATCGAAATTTAAAATGTTTGTAAAAGTTCTATAAATTATTTGATAGTAATATATGAGTGAATTAATAAATTACTTGAAATTATTATTGTCTAAAATTTGTAATATATTATAAACTTATATTAATTTTTAAATATTTTATAAATAATGTTAAACGAGGCACTTTTAGATATTTTGTTTGCTTAATTTGAAGAAGTGAATGAAATGAATTAAAGAGATAAGAGTACATTAGATGTAAATTTTGCAATGAGATACTTCAAAGATATTTTAGACTGTGATGCATTAATGGGAGGATTCAGGCCTTCAGGATAATATGATGATACAAGTGATGATGAAGAGGAAGAAGAAGAAGCAAGTGAAGTAGAGTAAAAGAGGATTGGATAAAGATAGAATTTAAAGATTAATGAACCTAATTTACAGAATTTAGCAATACCATCAGATATGGATTAAAATCAATTTTTGAGAAGTAATTCATAGTTGAGAACATTTTTACGTCAAATAGAATTAAGAAATAGTTTATCATCAGGACAAACCAATAATACTCGTTAATCTTAAAATGTTAAATATCCTGTGTATGCATTTTCTGATTTTTATTATGCAGCAAGTGAAGATGTTAAGATGATTTATGATAAAGTGATAAATGATATACTTTACAAATATAAGAAGACTAAATCATTTGATAGTGATTATTACGACTATCTGATATAGAATTTCTCTGTTTTATCTGATTTATAGATTAGAGAACATTTACAACAGAATAAGGATTCAGAGATTATATTGGATTCATTTAAAAAATAAAAAAGTTTAAAAAATCTTGAAAAAAGATTATCTTTGTATACAAAACTATAAAATGAAAGCAAAGATAATTATACTATATTATGCTAAGAGGAAATTGTTGAGAATCCTTATGGAATGATTTAAAATATTTAGAATCCTTTATTAACATCCAAATTCTATTAAGAATTAAATGAATTAATTAATAAAAAACATAAGAAAATTAAATTAGAGGAAGGGATAGATTATAAGAAAGAAATCTAAGAAAGAGTTAAAAATGGAATTTAAATTACAAATGAAACTAATTAATATCATGCTGAAGAGAATGGTGATTTTTAATAATAAATTCATATAGATTAAGATCCTAAAAAAAATTAGATGGAGATAGAAGCATCAATTAGATAGAAAGACAGAGAAAATTTGAAAAGATTTTTTACAAATAAATTTAAATTATTTGAGAATGAATAATAAGAAATCTATAACAACGAAATTTAATCTTAAAAGAATTAAAGGATACTTAATAAAGAATCTTTTTTGTACTAATGCCCATAGGAGAATATAAATATTTTAAAATGTTAAGCATAAACAGATGAGCCAGGAATGGGATTACTATAAAGAATATAGTAATAGTTAGAAGATGAAAAGAAGTTGAATGAATAATAGAATTAATAAAATTAGTAGCCAGAAGAGAGTTTTAAATAAGTAGAAATAGATAAGAAGGAATAGGAATTTTAAAAAGCTTTGGAGAATTATTCTTATTATAATAAGGAGATAATTGAATTTTGTATGGGATAAAAGGAGAATTTTTTATCGAAATCTTTTGAGGCTTATAATAGAGTAGAGATAGATTTGTAGAATAGATAGTTCTTTAGTGAAAAATTGGAAGTTTTATTACATTAAAAAAAGTTTCCAGAGAAGACAGGAATATAACAATTAGCAAATAGATTAGCTGCACCATCAATAGTTTCAAGATAGAAAGACAATAGAAGTGCTGTATCTCATGTTAATATGTTAAGTGCAGAAGATTAGGAAGAATCACAAGATTTATCGTAATTTGAAGATGGAATGTAATAATAATAGGATTTTAATTAATAATTTGGAAATGAAGATGGAGGAAATAAAGAATTATTGAATTTAATTGAATCTAAAATGAAAGCATTTTAAACAACACCTTTTTATAATCATTCTTAAGTAGCAGAATCATTCCAATTAAATGATTTCTCTTAAGTATTGACTAAACATGCAAGATATCATAGAAATAATATTGTAGACAATTTATATGAAGAGAAAAGGGAATTTTTAGGTTTAGAGAGAGAATAAGTAAAGTATTTTGATCCATGGACTACAGAATTGGTTCCTTTAGTTAATATTAAAGAATAAAAAAAAGATAATAGAGAAATATTGTTAGAAGAATTAACTGAAAAATAGAATAGTCATGAATATTATAAATAAGTTGATAATTTATCATTATCTAAGGGAAATTTTATTTTGATGGAATATATTGAATAAAGACCTCTTTTACTTAATAATACTGGAATGTGTTCTAAAGTAACTAGATATGTGTATCCTAGTAGAGCACTTTAATAATTTAATCAGAAAAGAATTAAAGATGAAAGTGATAATTACAATAATTTCTAAGAAAATAGTCTTTAAGCTAATTATAAAAGTTCATTTGGTTAAGTAGGATAAATTTCAAATGAAGAAATAACTCTTTTAGAATTTAAGAATATGTTAGTTGAATAATTAGGCAATATTGGTTAGATCAGATTTTTAGATAAGAATGGAACCATACCATTATAAGGATAACTTACAGATGAACGATTTATTGGTGTTGCTGTTATAGAAAATGAACTCTATAGAGCTCCTATTTTTAAATAAAAATTACCTATTACTGATTTTTTATTAGTAAGAACAAGAGTTGATAATTGTCATTACAAATATACACTTAGACCTATTGATTGTATTTATTTAGTTGGTTAAATTGAACCTAAAGTAGAAATATTTACACCTCATTCTAGACCTTTAGGAACATTTCTGAAGAACTGTTTAAAAACATATATAAAGAAATAATTCAAAATGGATTAAGAAGTTAAATAAGATGAATTAGAATAAATATTCTAAAAATAAAGTCATACCAATATTAGATCTGCTCTAAAAGAATGTAAAGGTGTTCAAGATTCTTAAAATCAAAAAACTTGGAGATATTAAAAAGGAAGTGAAGATATTTAAGTACTTAAATATGATATTACAGCCAATCAAGTTTGTTTGTATGAATCTATGTTGCATTCCTCTTATTTATTATAAGAATTTGGATTAAGAGAACTTAAAAATAGTGATAAAATGAAGAAAACTTTATAAGAATATTTATCAAGAAACCCTTAGGATTTCAATAGTTGGGTTATTGCTAGAAGAATTGAAGATGAACTAAACATGACTGCCTGGTCTTTATCTTAATCATTTTTACATTCAGCTAATTAAACAGGAAGAATGTTATTATATGGAATTGGTGATCCTACATCAGGACATGGAGGGTTGAATTATATTAAAAAACCGTTAAAAGCCAGAGGTGAAAAAGGTTAGAATGCTATTTAAGAGAAAAAGCCATAAGTAATGGGTACTGATAATGATTTACGTAAATTACATGTAGAAGACATATAAAATATATCTAGAAAATTAGGATTGACAGTAAATTATTATTTTAATTATTTTATAGACTGAATAAAATTTGAAGAGATGGAGAATGATAAATAAATTAACAGCATTTTTATCCTAATCTTAGAATCCTGATGATAAAGAGAGTAGGGATGCAGTAATGTTTAGAAAGAATTTGGAGTTATTAAATGATAAGGAGAGAAAACAATTAAATGTGATAGAGAAATATGCTAAAAATTAGAGATAGACAACTAAGAAGTAGAAAGAATAATATTAGAAAGAATTGGATAAGCAATTGGCTAAATTAATATAGAATCTAACAATAAAAGTATCAGGAAAGTACTTTGAAGATTTTGAAGAGGTGAAAAAGAAGAGAACAAAGAGAGATTTAGATAAAGATGATAAGAATAAAGATTTAGAATATAATGATGAAGATATAAAACCGTATTTAATAGTTGATTAAGAGAATTATAAGTTAAGAATAGAGGCATTTTAAAAGAAGGAGAAGAAGATTTGGGTGGAGAAGAAAAAGAAGAAAGGATTACCTTGAAATATATATTTTTTGATATATGATAATAATTGTTAATTGATATAAATATTATTATTAATAAATAAATAATGTAAATTGACGAAGTAGTATGGTAAGTGATAAATCGAGGACATTGTTCATTTAAGATAAAGTAAGATAGTAATGAATATGCTTAGAACAATTTCATAGAATTTCTGTAGAAATGAATATAATGTGACAGGTTTATGTTCAAAACAATCATGTCCATTAGCAAATTCATAATATGCCACAATTAAAGAAGAAAAGGGTTTATGTTATCTTTATGTAAAAACAGCAGAAAGAGCATAGAAACCAAAAGAATTGTGGGAGAGAATACTATTATCAAAGAACTATGAATAAGTAAGATAGAAAGATAGAAATATTAGGCATTGAGTTAAATAGATGAATAGTTAAAATATTGGAGTAATTTTATGATACATAAGAATAAGTAAAGACTGACAAAGTTGAGATAGATGTTGATAAGGATAAGGAAGATGAGATTGAAGGGATTGTAAGAAAGATTAATAATATTAGCAAGGAATTGATTCCCATAAAGAAGAAAGCAGAAAGAAGAGATAAGATAAGAGAATAGAAAGCATTAGTGGCTGCTAATTTAGAGAATGCTATAGAATAAGAATTAATGGATAGATTAAAAAATGGAGTATATAATGAAATAATGAATTATAATTCAAAAGCATTTGAAAAAGTGGTTGGTTAAAATTAAGTAGAAGATGAAGAAGAAGTAAATATAGATTATTAATAATTAATAGAGAGAATAATAAGAATTGGAAGAGGAAGAAGAAGATTATTCAGATGAAGAATTGATATTTGATCCAAATGATTTAGAAGAAGATGATGATGATGAAGAAGATTAGGATGAAGATAATTAAGAAGATGATAAAAGACTATTTAAAAAATAGACATTTAATTAATTGAGAAGATAGGGTAGATATTTAATCATTATTATTTTAGATGATGAAATTAAGGATATTAAAAAAAAGAAAACAAGGGTTTAATTGCAATATGAAGAAGAGGAAGAAATAGAAGATAGAAAAAAATAATAAATTACATTTTGATTTGTTTATAAAATAATTTATAGTATAAATCTAATATCAAAACACTTTATCTACAACATCTTTGAAAGATTACACATTCTATTTAAATAAAGAAGACTGTCTTTTTATTAATGTCTTCCTCTGATTTGCCTATCCTAACTATTGAAAAATTAATACTTTTATTATCAAGGAGTGTTGATGGAGATCTTTGAATTGTTGTTTCTTATTATGATGATTTACTAATAGGCTCTAATAAGAGACATGGCTGGTAATATTGATATTGTTATGTTTCCTTGTAAATATTCAAATATCCATAATTACGTTAAACTCTTAAATCATCCAGATCTATTATTTAACCTAATCTAATTTAAGATGATCTAGATAATGATGCTTCATTATGCATTTAAGCTTTATTTTCTATATCTGAGGAACTTGTTTATTCTGTGTATTCATTAAGGTTTTTTGTTTTCTCTATCAATTTTATAGTATATGCTTCCCATGTCTTAAGAGCTATCAATACATTTAGATATTCTGATAAAATATTGAAGTTTTAATGTTTAGAGCTATATTCATCTTAAAAATATTCCTAATCTTATTATTACTCTGATTTCATGTTATTTTCTTTCATCTTTCTTTTCATTGCTAAATCAAATTGTTTCATTTGAGATCTTCCAACAAGAGATCCAGTTTTGAATACACTTTCTTTAAATGTAAATCGAATAGTTTCATAGAGTAATTCATTAAAATATACATAACCTTATTTATTTGATCTGATTCTAAAATTAGATGCACTTTTAGCAGCATCCCATACATTATCTCCTTAAAGAGCCCCTAAAGGTTCTTTTAAATCTAACAAAAATCTTGCAATAAAACGTGTATGCATTTTAGTTCCTTTAGTATCATAAGTATATTTACACCAAACATTACAGAAATGATCAATGTTTTCAACAAATGTTTAGATAGCATTAGTTGAAGCATTAAAAAAATCTAATTTAAAATAATTAAAAATACTTTCAAATTAATCGACTAAGGCTAATACAAATAGATTCATGATAATAATATTTGAAAATAAATAATATGAAAGAAAGAATGGCAAAGCCCAAGATGATCCACATTAATTAGAATCATTTTTACAATAATAATTTTGAGTAGAACAATCAATTAACAGAGCTCTCCAATCATCACCTGTAGTGCATTTAAACATTAATAATGCAGAATTAATAAAGTTCTTAAAATTTGCATATTTATCATCAATAACTGATCCATTAGTAATATGAGAAAACAATTCTTTTCCAATAAGAGCATATGTGGTTTAAGCAATTACTTGTATGTATAAGATTTTAAATAATAAAGGCATAGAAAATAAAAGAACTCTTAATAATCTTAAAAGTCCTTTAAATTCTTAAATAATCAAAAGTATACGAGTGTCTCTTAAGCAAAACAAAATTCTATAGAGAGAGAAATATTTATCAGATTAATTAGCACTTAAGAAGGTCGTGAACCAACCCCAATAAATATCATATATGAAATCAGCTACAGCAATAAAAGAAAGAGACAATTCAATTACTCTCCAATTAGTGGCTAAAATAATATTTAAATAAAATTAATACCAAAATATCTGTTAGGACCATAAGCCATTAATTTTATGATTGTATCGAAAGCAAATATACCTGTTAATACTTAATAAGTCTTATTCAAATTAGCCATATATTGTAAAGGAGCATCTGAATAAAAAAGACACAATACAATAGTATTAACACATAACACTACAATAAAAAATTTATGGTAAAATTAACTAAACACAATTCTGTAACATAATCTTCTAAGAGGTGTTTTAGGAGGATTACTATATCCTGGGCTTTATTTTAAAATTAGTTCTGATATTTTCAAAAATTATGATTGATCATTTGTCAAATATTTATTTTCTAATTTTTTTGTATATTTTTAAAATTCAGTAAAGAGTACACCAGTTAAGAATCCCATGAAAAACATAGCTCCTATAAAAATAAATAAAATAAAAAATAAATAAGTTGCCCATTATGTTTTAAGAGGTGTTGGACCAAATTTGGAATCATTTGCATTAAAACATACTTGCATAATTTCACCCCATCCATCTAAAGATGCAGCTAAAAATAATGTTAATAATCCATTTAAGATATTTTCAAAATTATATGGATGGATAATCCAGGTTTTATTTTCTTATAAACATTAATCTTTATTTATATTAAAATTCATTAAATCTTCACAATAACCCATTTTATTTTAATATAAATGCATTCCTATTACATCAAATATCAAAAAAACTAATAAAATAACCCCAATTATATTAAGAATTTAAACTAAACTCAAACTCATAGCATTTTTAATACCTTAAATACTTTCAAACATATTGATCATCATTAAAGGACGAAGGTAAACTAAAATTAATTTAATTTTACTTAAGTAAAGTGAGAATTTCAAAAATGGAGATAAAGTCAAAAAAGACAAATAATAACTAAGTAAATATAAAATATCTATAAATCTCCAAATATCTCTACAAAATGCTCCTTAATCTAATAGCATTCCTTAGGATATAATTTCCAATACATAAGTAATTGCAATAATTAGATTTACAGCTAATAAATGATATTCATAAAATGTATTTAAATTATTAGTATGAAGTGATGGTAAATTATTATCAAATGATATTATGATCATAGTTGTTACAGAAGAACAAATTGAACTATTTAATAAAAACTTGAAAATGATTGATTTTGTTGTTCTATAACAAAATTTTCTAAATTTATTATTAAAATGAAATATGAAAAGTGAATATTCGCATTCGATATCTTTATAATACTATATTTCAATAGATTTCTATTTATTGAATATGTACTTAACTGTCTCAGGTACTTATTAATAGATACTTTTCTTGCTATTTAATGTCTATCGTTTGATAAACTATTGTTATTAAATTTTAATATCATTTAATATTTCATCATTTTCATCTTTTTCATTTTTATATGATGATAAAGTATCTAGTTTAATATCATTCTAGTTAATATTCTCTTGAATTCCTAATTTCTATAATATTCTTTCTCTCTTTTCTTCATACTGATTCCCTTTCTCTAATTCTGATGAAAATGCATCTAATAACACTGCACTCACTAAACCATATATCAAATAATTCAAACCAAATACCATCAATATATAAAATAATAATCCCACCCATGTATCTGTATATTGTGTAGCCACTTTTAACATACCAACTGCATCATCATTTGTAATTGTATTAAATACAGTCATCCATGATTTTCCTATACTATTAAATGAATGTAATTAAGCTAATCTTTAAGACTCATCAAATTTATTCACAAAAAATTGTAATCCCATTATTGCATACATAAAAATCACATAAAACATTAAAAATGTAATGTTGATATAAGATTTCATTGTTAATTAGGCAATCTTCATTATTCTTACTATAAATTTGTTATATTTAATGACTCTATATAACATAAACGCCTTTGATGCTCTTAATACTTTAATTTCACTACTATATTATTGCAACCAAAAAGGCTTAGTAATTGAAATAAAATACTCTAACAAACACAAAACAATTACAAAAGTATCTAAGTTATTGCTAGATTTTTTAGTAAAATCTTAGATTCCATATCCAATAATTTTAAAAATAATTTCTCCCAACAATAAAAATGTCATTGCTGAATTAATTGAATTAACTAAATCAAAATTTAAATAACCATCAGAACAAAGAATAAAGAAATTAATCATAGTATACATATCGAATATAATTTATACCACCTTTTTCTCCAATAATTAATGCAACTAAAATTAAATAACAATCCAATAGCCATAAAATCCTTAGATCCAAATATTATATTAATGTTTATTTAGTTACTTAAGTATGGCAATTAATTTATTCTTTGTTAAATGTTATAAAATATTTTGGATTGAAATATTATGTCTTCTGATAAATCCTTGTTCTAATTCTTATTTCTATAAACATTAAAAAAATAAATTACTCTAATTTTAATATAATGTTCATAATTTTAATCCATGAAATCCAAATCTAAAATTTGATTATCTTCTATATCTTCCTCATCTTCATTAATTTATCTATTAACTAAAATTGAGCATGCATCATGATTCCATTTTATACCATTTATTATAATATATTCTTAACCTTCTTACCATTCTGGAAATTCCATAAATGCATCTAAACTACCTCTAACTATTCTAGTTGGAAATCTCTAAAAAAATAATCTTTATTTTCTTTATTGATCAAAATAAGATTTACGAGTTATTGATGATTTATTACTAGGAATTTCATTTTTTGAATTATCCAAGTCCAATTAAGAACTAAAAATTCTTTTACTTAATTTTATTGGAAATTTTTATTTCAATCTTAAAGCAGTACTTTTTAATCTATTTCTTATATTTATATCATATTTTATGCTATAAAGTCTTTGAATAGATTGCTATCCATTATCAGAAGATTACAAATGTTATGATGTTGCTTTCTCTTTTTACCTATCATAAATGTCTAACATATAATATTATTTTAAATTTTATCTTTTCATCTTTTCATATTACTCTTTCAATTTTTTCTCCTTCTCTATTATTTCCTTAAGTTCACTTATTACATCTCTTTTAGATGTCGAATAATATTATGAATATTTTAATTCTAATTTCCATGCTAAAACATCATTATAATTTAAGCTCATTAATATTCTTTTACCTTTAACATCTCCATATACAGCTTATTCATATTTTTATTATTCAATATTAAAATTTCTTTTTGGTTACAAAATAGCTTTCAAATTGCACTTATCAAATATACTTTATTCATTACTATTTATTATACCCATTTATTCATTCTCTCTCTCCTATAATAACTTTTATTATCTAGCTGATAGAATTAATCTTTGTTATTTTTTTTTTTCCTTAATAGTTTTGGCTCTTTTTACCATTTTCTACAATTTGTTAATTTATCCAAAACCATTAGTAAGTTGAGAATTTATTTTCTATTTCTATAATAATTGACTTCCTTTTGGTGAAAATAATTAATTATTTATCGATTTAATTTAAGAAATATTTGATTAGGAAGGTGATTATTATGTAAATCTTTTTCGTATTTTTTACAATGTTTTAATTTAATTATATAATCCTATATTTTTAATAAATCTTAAATTTAAAGGTTCTACATAAGATTATTTATTTTATAAGTCTTCCTTCTCTTCTTAATAATTAGATACAATTTAAGAATAATATGTTTTCAAAACAGCAATAATTAAATTGAATGCAAAGAAACCTAAGAATAGTATTAATAAATTGAATACCTACTATAAAAATGACTAAGACAAAATAAATCCATGTCATTGGACTTAGTGTATACATAGTATAATACATTACATCTGTCCAATTATCCATTGTAATTGTACGTATAATTTAAGCAAAAGCAAAAAAGAAATTATCAAAGTTTGTAGCAGTATCTACATTATTTAAAGACTTTAAACAAATCATATTATTAGGACATTCTACCCATCCACAAAGATTTTATTCTAAATCTTAAATACCTTATTCTATAATGAAACATCTATTCAATAATAATTAACTAAATAAATGAACACCAACATTAGCAAAAAATATACAAAAAATTAATACTACTAATGATGCTTCCATCATATATTTAAATGATTCAGTTAAAGCTTTTAAGGTTTTTTATAATTATGAAGATATCTTTCCTAACTATATTAATATTCTCATGGCTCTTAAAGGAGAGAAATCAAATGATAAAGTGTCATAAATATACAATCCAAAAAGAATAAGCTTAAAATTATCTAAATTAATTTACATTAATTAAATCATAACAATTCCAAAATACTTTAAAGAATTAAACTAATCCTAATCCAACTATCTTAATTCCATGTTCAACTACATATATCCAAAAAAAAACTAATATTTTATAAATTCTATATTACTTAATGACCAACCATCAAATAAGTGTTAATATTAAATATAAACATTATCATAAAATTTAGTTATGTATAAAATCATATTTACTGATACTAATAATAGCATTATAAAATTTGATACTATATTAGTTGTAATTTTATAACAAATTAATGAAATTGTATTAAAAAATGTTACAATTAATTTTCTCAACCCTAGTAATATATATGTATCTTTGTAAAATTAATGATTTAACCATATTTCTTCCCAGCCTTCTACATGTATTAATTATAGATTATAATTATCATTATGAGGATCAGTTTCATACAATTTTGTAAATTCGTCTATAATATCTGGGATTTATAAATTCTTTTAAAATATTATTTCATCTGAACATAATTTTTGATTTTATCTAACTAAGGATGTTGGTGTTTATTCTAATAAATCATTTTTATCTTCTTCAATCAACTCCTCATCCATATAATATTAAATAGTTTTATAAATCTGCCAATGCTTTGCTCTAACAGTTTTCCTTCTATCAGGACTTATTTCATTTTACATTCCTCTAAACATTGCTTTTTTATCTATTTCTATCTCCTCATTGATATCCATTTCATAGCTCTCATCAGAAGCCAATTAAATTTAAATTATGTCATCTTAAACATTTTCAAACTTAAAAGTACTCTTTTTCCTAACTCTAACTAATCAATCTAATCACTACTTTCTCTATTGCAAATTAACTCTTGGACTTTTCTAATCATTTTACCATAAATTTCTTGCACTTCGACTCTTTTACAATTCAACTTTCTAGTTTCTCAAATTCTAAGTATTTAAATCACTAATAACTAAATATTACAAAGCAATGTACCCTAATCGTAGCATTAGTGATATTAAATTTAAAATTATTAATATATAATATATTCATTCTTTCCCTAATCTATTTGATCAAACACCATCAGTATTTTTATATTATATTAATCTTTTCATCACAAAATCAATTTAATATTATGCTACTAAACATTTTTTAAGGAGAAGTTCAACTTTATTTCATTTCTTAATTCTCTAAAATTGCAATCTTCTTTCTTAAACGTAAATTTTCTTTGGCTATCTCCAATTATGCCTCAACCTATCAAGAAAATATTATTTAAGAACCTTGATTTTCATTTTCTAAATTTAAACTCTTTAATTACTTAATACGACCATAATTTTAATTATCAAGTGTTTATTTATTGTATTCCTATTATAATTTGCATTCACATAATTATTGCCTATTTGATACAATAAGATCCAAAAAATGTTTTTCAGTTTCTTTGAATTTTAAATTTTCTATTTATTATTCTTATTTTTATAATTACAATTACAGTTCATAAATCTTAGAAATCTTCTCAATTCGCAATAATTCTAAACTTTGAATCTATAAGGTAAGATACTCAATTTCTTTATTTTCTTTTTTTTCAATATATCAAGGAGTAAGAATTTAAGTTGATTCCTGTCATTAATCATTATCTTATACTACTCCCAATTATTTCGTTATTTAATTAGAAATCATTTATTTAAAACTTAGTAAGTCATTTATATTATTTTTATTTTAATTAATTTTTTCCTTCATAATATCCAAATTATTGATAATAAAGTTTATAGTATATTCCACATCCCTTAATTTAACTTCTTCATTTTAAATAACCTATTTTAAAATAATTGTATCTGTTTGTATAGAAACTGAGTTGGTTACCTAAATTGTTTGTTAATATTAATCTTTTATTTATTAATTACTCTTTTACAATTAATCTTATAACTGTTTAATAAGATTTTTTTGGGAATGCTCACTAAAAATTATATTCAATACTTATTACTTTAAATGATAATTTTTTTGTTTAGATTCATCTTAAAAATCTATTTATTCATTTAATTTTTCAATAATTGTTTCCAATTATTTATAGGATTGCTCATATATATCATAATTTAATTTCAATGTTAGAATTTCTTAACTTTAAATTTATATTCGAATTTTTTACTTAAACTTCTTAATAATTTCTGTTGTTTCTTCATCAAATTTTGACATCCTTAGCTGTAATTCAGAATTTTAATTTTTCATATCTGAAATTTATTAAATATAATCCATAGTCTAATTTTACTATTATTTAATTATTAAATTTAGTTATTGTAATTCTACTTGTACTTAATTTAACTTTTATTCAAAATAGGATTATTAAGTTTTCCTATCTAAAATTTAGTATTAAGATTTATAGTGTAATTATTATTCCTAAGCTAATTCATCCTTTTTAAAATGCATATCATTTTGTAATAATAATATTTCATTTTATTTTACATCTAGTGATTTTCTTAAATTTAAATATCAACTTACTTACTTGATTGAAATATCTTCTTCCATATACTGAGATTTCGATAATTTAGATTAAACTTCAATCAGACTATCTCATTAGTATCTAAATTTATCTAAACCCTTTTTGTTTAATTAATTTGATTCTATTGTTAAAGAATGATTGCTTTATCATTTTCTTACAAAAGCATTAAATCTTATGTTTTATGTTATCAAATTTTTTTAAAATTGCGCATATTTATTTTTTAGATTGGATATATTTTTTTCTAAATATGAAATGGTCAATTAACTTTTTTTAATCAGTTCATCTTGATATAACATTTCTTAAGTATTCCGATTTAAAGAATCTTTTAAGAATTATAATTCAACAAGATTTTGTTTAAATTGTAAAGAGTCATTTTTGAATTTTTCTATTTTTTGATTTTCTTTTAGTTCTGATTGTTCTTATTCTAAAAGTAATTAATCTTAACTCTTCTGTAATAGTTAACTAATAAAATTAAATAGATTACATTTCTAATTGTAAATGTTTATTTTATTCATTTTCAATTTGAATTATTATATCTTGAAGATTAGTTTAAGTAGAATTTAACAATAAACTGTTAATTTGTTGTCTAAATAATTTATAGAAAAATAAAATGCTTTTAGAAATTGACATGATTTCTACTTTCTTAAAGTTATAAGTCTAATTGCTGTTTTTTAAGTTTTAATTTTTAGAGATGTTCACCTAATTCAACACTTAGAAATAAATAAATAAAAAATTATACATAGTTTCTTCTTTTTCAAAAATATTGTACACAAAATCTAAAATTTATTATTTTAATTGTTATATCGTTATATCGTGTCTTCTGTTTTTCTAATTAATTGCTTCTATTAATTTATGATTAATTTTAATTAAGTGATTTCTGTATCTTTAGTTTAAAGATGTTGATTATATTCGAATGCTACATTTTATAAATCTTTGATTTCTTAAACTAATTGGTAATTATTAGTTCTTAATTGATTTATCTAATGAAAAAACAATTATTTTTGTTGTTCTATAATATATTATTTATTGATATTGTCACATAATTTATAATAATTATCTTATGACATAGAATCTTAATGTAAATCAATTGAAGTATTAGAGATTTCATCTTCATTTAGAATGATATTTGATGAAAGTTAATAATGGATTATGATATTCATATAAGTTAATGAAATTAAATATAAAAATGAATTTGTTTAAATTTTATTTAATAAGGTCAGAATGCACCCTTGAGTTATGATTTAACATAATCAGTGAATCTTGGTTAATTTAATAAATCCAAGGCTTAATGAGCAGCATTCAATTCTTTATTATATTCAGCAACAGTTGCATTGTAAACATCAGTGGCAAAAGCAAAGTCATCATTTTCAGCTTATAATTATCCATTCAATGTATCTAAATCTGCATGTAATTCATCAATTAAATCAAGAGTTTAATCTATTTTATCTAGGTAATTAATTTATTTATAAATATACTTGCATTGGCTTCAATTTCAGCTGTTTTAACAACAACAGCTCTTTAGAATTCAGCATGTTCTTAATTTAATTAAATTACTCTTGCTTCAAAATCTCTTTAAGCTTCAGCTTCATCAGCTGTAATTGTATTAAGTGAATCAACTAATTAAACTCTCAAATCATTGAAAGCAACAAGGATCTTTTATATAAATCTTTATAACTTTTTACATCTCTAAGAGCACTTTAATCGGCAAAGTTAGCTTCAACAGCAATTTCAATAAGAGTCTTAATGAATGTTTAGAAAGTGCTATGTCTCTTTAAGGTTTATTAAATTTTTGTCAAATTCTTTTAAACCTTTTAGATTTAAACAAGTGATGGAGCTGATAATTGACTTAATAAACCAAGTGATTCATCAATAGCACTAATGGCTTCATTATGTTCAGCAACTTTAGCTTCAAAATCTGCATGATCATTAGCTCTTTAGACTGTTGCCTCATTAAGTGTTTTTCTATTTTAAGCAATGTTTTCTTATAATTATTCAAGTTGAGCAGCAAATCTATCTCTTTATGGAATAAGGACATTATCATAGAAATCATGAGCATTGAACACCTCTAAATGATGATTTATAATATAATTTTACCTCTTTCTTTATCTTAAATTTCTTATGAAAGTCTTGATACTTCTCTATTATGAACATCTGTTCTTCTTGCATATTAATGATGCACTTCTGCTAATTCTTCATCCAATTCACCAATCTAAATAGACACATTATGAATACAAGTTTTGTAATTTCTGTATTAAGTTCTGCAAGGATACCACCTGTTGTTAAATGGAGCTCACCAAAATTCAAGATAAAGTTTCCCCATCCTGATTATTTGATTTAGGCAAACATTTTTTAGTCATGACTTGTCCAAACTGAAGCTTAGATATCAATTGCTGTTATGCTAAGAACAAGCAATGTGCAGACTGCTACTTTTAACATATTATATATTATTATTATTAAAAAAGTCAAAAACGAATACTTCATTTTTATATACTGATTAATTAAATTTCTTAATTATCAACCACAACATTTATATATCAAAATTTATTACATCAAAAATACTTCTTAATAATTACTAAAATCTCTTCAACTTTACAAATTTTAATCAACTAATTTATTTATTTATCATCTCTTATTAATTTATTAAATGTTTCTATTTACTTTTATTCTTTAATTTAACATTATTTCAATCTATTCTACCAACTTTTATTCTTTTTGTTTACATTACTTTATTAATTTAATACATCTATACTTTAATATACTTTATACTTTCAATTCATTAATATATTTATGTAATCTTTATCTAATTCTTCATTTTACATCTTAAACATCAAATTATTATTTTTATTAATAACTATTAATAATTATTTTATGAATTTGTACAGTCCTTCCAATAAAAAGGCTATTCATATTAATAAGGAATAATTATTAAATTAAAGAAAAATTGAAATTAAAAGAATAGCAAGTGAAGGCAGAAACTTCAAATCCTAAAATCAAAATTAAGATGATGATTATTATCTCAATAGAATAATTGCATTAAAAGCAGAAAATGATTTAGCCTATAATGATTCTAAACGATAAGAAATTAGTCACGTATTCCTATAAACATATCAAATTATAGATAGATGAGTAGATTTATTAGGAGTTAAACTTTATTAAAAATTAGATTGAGACTGTTAAAAATGAATTAAAAGTATTAAATTATTTTATTCAAAGCTATGTGATAGTGTAAGTTCAGGTAGAAATAGAAGTAATAATCCATCCATTATAAGTTCAAAAACATTAGAAAATATGCAATAAAAATTGTCTCATATATACACAAATAATTCTGTCAATCAAACTTCAAAAATTAGAAATTTTAGCAATTATTTAGTTGAAAAATAATAAAATCTTAGTCCTAAGTCTTAATGTGATCAAAAAATATCTAATTCCTTTATCAAATGGAAAAATAAAGCCTAAGTTAAAAAAATTGAAAATATCAATAATAATAATATAAACCAAAGCTAATCCAATGATTATTTGTTTTGCTTATTCTCAAGATTAAGTAATTCCTCTATTATTTAATTAATGAGTAAGAATAAAATCAAAGTTAATTAAGAAGATAAATGCAGAAATTAATGTTCCTATAAAACTTACACATTTAAAAATAACCTCATAACTACATTAAATGAAATAGATAATTTTTATAATAAAAATAAATTCTAAAAAAACTTTATGATTATTGGTGGTAAAAGCACTTCTAAAAAGAAAATAGTAGAGTAATTAATTAGATCTATGATTTTATAACTATAATCAAATGTTCTCTCAATTAAAATATCATATGCTATTCATGGATCTTTAAGTAAGCCTGATGTATTTAGATAATTGCCTTTTAATATGCAAAATTAGGAAGTTGCATTATATTCATAAGAGTGTCATTTACAAGCACCAGAAGTTATATTTCATCAATTACATTTATTAATTTAACAATCACTTACAGATCCATATTATTATATCAAATAATTTTTTCATGATTAATTGTAAATTACATAAAATCCACAAATCAAAAAAACTTTGATGAACTTAATAAATAAGGATATTAATTGTATCAAAGGCTATAAAATACAATTAACAACTTATAATGAGAAACTTCAATATAATATTCTTACAACCAACTATTTAATCTCTAGCAATAATTACTCAATCTTCACAGATAATAGTTAAAGTCTTCTTTAATAAGGGGAAGGTCATAATTTTATACTGGAATGTTTAGAATAGATGAATCATGATGAAACTGTTCGATTATTTTGCATCAATCCTTTAAGATATAGAATTAATGATTCCTTGCATTTACTAAAAATGATGATTAATTGAATCATATTTATTTATCCTTTTATAATTCTTAATGAAATTGATATATAATATTTTCAAAAAAAAAAAGGATTTTATTTTATGATTAATTCTTTTTTTTTTAATTTAATTAAATATATGTGATTAATTATTTATTTCTATTAGAATTGAATAATTCATAACCTAAATAATTCTACTTAATATATTTTAATTATATAAAGAATGTATTGCTATTATTTAGATAAGTTATTTTTAATTTTTAATATTCCTTTTTTTGTCTTAAATTGATGAGAAGTTTAAAGAATTCAATTTATCAATTTTTGGCTTAAAGATTAAAAAAAAACTATTAAACATATGCTATATGGTTTTTAATTAATGTTAATAATTACATTGATATATTATTAATTGAGCATTTATCTTTAATTATAACAAAAATAAAAAATTAATATTTCTAGTTAGATTTTTCTAAGTTATTATTATATTTTAAAGTAATATAAAAAATTTTAAACTCCAGGAATTAGTTCAACTTATATATTTAGAAAATAGAATAAATATTACTTATTAATTGAAAATAGAATTTGTTGGTTTTTATATGATTTTTTAAGAAGCTTATCCTTTTTTTTTAATCTATTTAGGAACTAACATTGGAAATCAATAATAAGGTTTAAGTGATATGATATAAATTACTGAGGAAAGAAAAGCTTAAATTTTGATAATTTTAAATAATATGAATCAAAAAAAAGACTTTCGAAGTTTTTATAATAAAATAATGATAGTCTTAAAATATAGACTGAATTGATTTAGCAATACTTATAATTTATTTGTAGTTAATTTACTTAATGTAAATGGAATAGGTTGGAAGATATAAATAAAAATCTATTATATAGTTATTGATAGATGATATAGATTATGCAATAAAAAGATGCATTTTTATTCCTTCTTTTTGGTTGAACATGAATTCTTTATTGCTTCCTCTAGGTTTAGTTAACCAAAGCACATTTTTTGATTTGATAATTTGAACAGGTACATATTAATAAAGAAAAGCATTCTCTCAATATAATAAAATAAAAAGCAATATATTTATTTGAAATAAGGCATCTTGTCTAATCATTGGTAAAAGTAAAACTGTAATTTAAATATTTCTCTCCTTATTTAATTTTATTAGGAAGGATAATTAAAAACCTTTTATCTTAATCTAAAATATTCAGAAATTCTTGTTGTTTAAAATAGCAGAGTTTATACAGAGACAAGAAATTAGACAAGCTATTTCGCAGTATACTTAGAATTAATAATAAACTACAATTAAAAATGTTTAGTTATTATCCTTTTGACGAAATAGGTTAAGGATTGAATTTAGGCCAATAAAAATATCAAAAAAAAATAAAAAGGAATTCTAATAATATTGGTAAGAATTATATAAATAAAAGTATCCTATAAAGTGTGATCTAAGTAGCTTTACTTGAGTTTTATTTAATTAATTAAAATTTCTATTCAATCATTTAAGCTGAATTATTTTTTTGAATTTAAAATTAGTCTATTTGTTATCGGAATAGTTTGAATTGTAAAGTGAATTTTCCTTTTGAATACATAAAACATATCATAGATTTAAAATTGATGGGTTGTAGAAAATGCAAAGAGTAAACCTATGATTCTGGTAGTCCCTTTTATGATATTACGTTATATTATTTTTTTTAGTTTGAGAGATATATTATTAAGTCCATTTTATATAGATATTTGAGGAGTATACATTTGTCCGAAATCATTGATGCTATTAGGAACTTATAAAAATTTTAAGATAAGTTCATAAAGATTTAATGAGAAAGGAAAGTATTTGATTACTCTTTATAATTAAATATTGAAATTCAACTTCAAGAAGAAATTGATTATGATTCAAATGAGAAATAGTATTATGAAATAATGAATAGAATAAGAGAGACAAATTTAGAAAAAACCTTAAATGATATTGATGATGATGAATAAGAGAATACAGAATTATATGAAAAATGAATTAGGTATATAATTATATGAAGGGAGTGATCTAAAGTTGAATAACAAAATCGATACTTTACATAAATAATATAAAATTTAATAATTTATCTTTGAGCGATTTTGAATGTATAGAATTTTCTCTTTTCTTCCAAATTAGCAATTTTATTTAAAGAATCTATTCTTAATTTAAGAGATTTATCTCAAGAACAACAGAAAGTTACTAAGAAAAATTATGAAATTTTGAATTTCTGTTTCTAATTTTTCAACAAAACTTGTTCTTCTTTCATTTTCTACCATGAAACTTCAGCATTAGTATCTAAAATTAATATTCTGCAAGTTCAAAAGCAGAATGAATTTTTTCTTTGATATATCAATATTATATATCATCCACTTATTTTTTGTATTTAGTAATTATATTAATATAAAAAATAATCTCTAATTAATATTTATTCCCTTTAAAGCCGAATAAATAAAAAGATCATTAAATTTGTTGACTTTCTATGATCCTTTTATTCACATAACAAGAATTGATGTTTGGGTGATCAAATAATAACATGCATATTTTTTTGATCAAATTATTTCTAAAACTTATTTACTTTCAAAATTCTTTAGAAATATTATCTAATCTAATAAAAAAACCTTATTTTTGTATCAAACTTTAAAATATATTCACAATATACATTTATTTATATAATTATTTCTTAGAAGAGGCTTAAGAACTTTATTAAGGAATTCAGGCTTTTTATAATTCTTAAAATATCTATAGCTACTAAATTATATTATTGCAACATCTCATTTTCTATCAAAATTTATTGTTATATAAATATTTATTTTATAAGTAATTTTTTATTTAATAATTTTTAATAGAAATAGAAATGCAATATAACTAAATGATCAATTCTGTTGTAGAAGCTCCAACAAAAGAATATCCTTAAAGATATTTTGTATTAACAAAGCTTCTTGGAGCAGGAGGTGAAGGAGCAGCATATTTGGCTACTGCTGATAATTGGGGTAATAATCCTAAAAAAGTTGCTCTTAAATTACAAAAGAATATGAAAGATAATGAGAAATACTTTATATAAAATTTAATAAAATATTAAAACATTTATGAGAATGGAAATAATCAACAATACACTCCCAGTAACATAATTCGAATATATGAATATTTTGAATGGAAAGCTAACCATTGCATTATTATGGAAGTAGGCTCAGAAAGTTTATATGATTAAATAGCTAAAAATAACAATTAATCCATAGATGACAAAATAAAAATATGTTTTGATGTAATAATTTTATTTTTAATAAACTTTTAGATAAGTCAACCAATTCTTTTTTTACATAAATAAAACTAAATCCATCGAGATATCAAACCAGAAAATTATATAAAAGTAGGAGATATTTTTAAATTAATTGACTTTGGCTTGGTTCGTGGAAATGCCCCTTTGGACTAAAAAACATAATAAGTTGGCACTTTAATATTTCAAGCACCAGAACTTATAGAATCATAGAATAATTATACAGAAAAAGTTGATATCTGGGCATTAGCATGTGTGTTTTATGAAGTATTATCTTCTAATTCATTATTTAATGGTATACTAAATTTATATTTTTAGGATCAAGTTACAATGAAATAATAAATTAAATAAAAAGACACAAAACTAATCCAACTTTTGTTAAAACAAAAATAAATTATTTATAAACTCCAGAAGAGATTAAAAAATTGATAATATCGATGTTGAATTATGATGCCTCTAATAGGCCTTCGATAGATAAGGTTTATAATGAGTTTTAAAAATATAAAAAGCCCACTATTACTCCTACTTCTACTGGTGGGGAGGATAGAAATACTGGAATGTAAAATTTAATAACACAACCTGAAAAAGAAAAACCGCAAAATTAAGAAAAACCAACAGTATAATAATAAAAAGATGTACAAAATCCTCAAATTGACAATAGAGGAACTGGTTTTCCTGCAAATTTATAAACAAATTAAAAACAAGAACAAGAAAAAAAACAGCCTTAGAATATATAACCACAACAATTAGAATAAAAAGAAAAACTATAAAACAATTTAAGTGAATAATAGATTATAACAATGATTGAAAATAAATGCTAATCAATAATTGAAAATAAAGTCTAATTAAAAATTGAAAAAGCATTATAAAGTTAAAAAGAAACTTATGAAAACTAAATTAAATCTACATAAAAAGAAATAAACTAATTAAAATTAGAGTAATAATAAAAATTAGAATAAAATAAAAAATTATTCGAAGAATAATTAGAAAAAAATATTTATTCTTAAATATAAGTAGAATATTAAAAATTAGTAGTATAAACTAAAAATGAATTAGAAGAGAGATTTAAAAAAATAAATTTATAAGCAACATAATAGCAACAATAGAATTAAAATATACCCATATAAAAATAATTTGAAGATTAAAGATAATCTTTTACTTCTTCATTATAATAATAATAAGCAGAATATTAAAAATTAGTAGTATAAACTAAAAATGAATTAGAAGAGAGATTTAAAGAGATAGAATCCTAATAACAATCATAAAAAGCGAAATAACAATTATTAGAATAAAATTAAATATATTTAAAAGATTTTTTAGAATAACAATCTTAAATCTAAAATAATAACATTTAAAAACAATTTGAATCCATCGGTTCTTAATTAAAAGAATAACTAGAAAAATATTTACATTTAGAAATTTAAAAAAGTTAAAATGAATTAATAGAGAGAGTTAAAATAATAGAACTTTCAATGTAATAAAAATTCAATGAATTAACGTAAAGAAAAGCACTTGAGAATAATGCCTTTGAAATGAAAGTTGTTTAAAATTAACTAGAAAATCCAAATAGTGTTGAAAACTAATAGGATGTTGACAGAAATTAATTAATGATTAATATTGAAAATTCAAATAATTAATTATATGCGATTACTAATTTAGAATAATAATCAAAAAATCAAAATGTAATTTTCAATTAAGAATCGGATTCAACTAACTAAAATAAATTAGAAAATATTGAAAAGTATAAACAAGAGAAAGATTTTATCTTCAAATTATTTTAACTTTTTAACTAAAATCTAGTTTAAGAATTAAAAAACTTAATAGGAAAGTAAAATTAATTAGAGTCAGAATAATATTTGCAGAATTAGAATCAATCTGACCAATGTCAAAATAACTAAGATAACAATTTATTATAAAATTAACAATAATAGTAAGTTTAATCAAATAATCAATAATTTTAGGAAAATCAAGAAGCTGAAACTATATAGAATAGTTTATAAAATGAATTACCATAATCTTAATAATTAGATTAGTAAGCTTAGAACAATCAAAATAACTAAGATAACAATTTATTATAAAATTAACAATAATAGTAAGTTTAATCAAATAATTAATAATTTTAGCCAACTAATTATACTGAGAATGTATCAAATCCTTTATCAAATGAAGAGACATAATCTTAAAAATAGTATTAGTATGATGAGAATAAAGCTTAAAACAATATAACTGAATAAGAAAACAATACATTCTAACAACAACAAGTTTAATTTAATTTGTCAAAGTTAGATTAATAAATTACTTAGGAATAAACATCAGAAGACATATTGTAAAATTTTTTTTCATAATCAAATGATCTATAAAAGCATTTAAATAAATTAGATGAATAAACTGTGAATTAATTCTAGATTGTTTTTTCAAATTTAAAACAAGAATTATTTCTTTAAGTTGCAATTTTAGGATAGTATATCAATGATTTAAAAAAATAGAATTAAGTTTAAAATAATGAGAGCAAACAGTAGATTAATACTTTAACTTAAGAGATTTAAGATATAAAACAAAATTATTAAATTTAAATTAATGAGAAATAACAATAGATTAATAATTTAAATAAATAGAATGACGATTTAAAATAATAAAATTATGTATAAACTAATGAAAGCAAAATGTAGATTGATACTTTAAACTAAGAGATTTAAAAATAAAAAAAATTAAATTAAGATTAAAATAATGAGAGCAAACAGTAGATTAATACTTTAACTTAAGAGATTTAAGATATAAAACAAAATTATTAAATTTAAATTAATGAGAAATAACAATAGATTTATAATTTAAATAAATAGAATGACGATTTAAAATAATAAAATTAAGTATAAACTAATGAAAGCAAAATGTAGATTGATACTTTAAACTAAGAGATTTAAAAATAAAAAAAATTAAATTAAGATTAAAAAAATGAGAGCAAACAGTAGATTGATACTATAAATAAATTGATTAAATATTTAGAACAATTGAACTAAGATTAAATTAATGACAGGAAGAACTAAATTGATTCTTTACCAGAGTAAATTAATATTTTAAAATAAAAAAATGAAGATTAAATAACTGAAAGCAAGAGGTTGATTTAAACTTTCAATAAATGGATTGAATTTTTAGAAAATTAGAATTAACATTTAAATCAATAGTGTAAGCACTGGATTGAACAGTTTAAGAATTAAATTATTGAACCAGAAGACTATACAAATAAAGATAAAAATAACAAGACCAAGAAATTGATTGAAGAATTAAAATAATAAAATGAAATTCAAACTAATAAGAACAATTAGCTAATTGAGAAATAAAATAAGTTGATTGAAGATTATCAGAAGCACAATTAAGTTAAAACTAATGACATTCAAATTTTAATAAATGAGACTTAAGATTTACAAAAATATTATTAAGATTTAACTAATAAGAAAAAAAATTAGATTGATAATTAACCTCTGTAAATTGAAGATTTATAATAAAAAAATGAAGATTAAATTAATGAAAGCAAGAAGGTGATTTAAACTTTCAATAAATGGATTGAATTTTTACGACAGTTGAATTTAGATTAAACTAAAAATATATAGAGTTAAAATTAAATGATAGAAACTTTGTTAAATTAAACGAATGATCAATAAATAAAGATCAATGATCAATAAATAATCATTAATTAGGAAAGCTTGAGAAGTTTAGATGCATATTGAATTTTATTAATAAAAAGTTAAATAAAAATATTTATTATTATGAATTCATTGTAAATTTGAATCATAATTTGATCCTTCATCTTTAATTATTTTTTTTGAGTTTCTATTAAATATTTCATCAAATTAAGGTTTCTATAGACATAAAAATATGGTTTACTTAATTAATCAAAAAGATAATCTAAGATAGTAGTTCAAATACTTGAAAAAATTTTATTGACAAAAATTTTTCAAATTCCTTCTGATTCGATTCTCAAATTAATTACCTTTGCTAAATTATTTTTTATCTAACTAAGAAAGAATAGAATATCAAACTATAAAGTTGATTTCATGATCAATAAATAATAATGTAATAATAAGGTAATGGGATCAATCAAATTTATATTCAGGGTGGAATAATTTATTCATTTAGAATTATTTCTTTGGACTTTTCTAATATCATTAAAATTTGGATAATTTCAAACTTTAAAAAATATTTTCTTTTTTTATTGTTATAATTATTTTATTCTGTGACAATGGTTCAAAAATATTTTAGATTTTATAATAATCTAATAATGATCAGATCCCATTAAATTCATATCAAATTTAAGATATATTTTGAGGATCCTATTATATTACATTAATAAAAAAAATCCAAATTTTCAAATCGTTTAGATACTAATAAATATATCTATCAAAATAGTTAACAAATGTTTTTTATATCTTGAATAATCACAATAGATGCTACTCTATAATATCTGTGTTTACAACAGATTAGTATTTTTGCTCGAAAAGCCTATTATTAAAGTAGCAAAGTATTAGACTTGTAACTTAATTATTCTCTAGTCTAATAAAATAATATATTAATTAATTAATGTAATCAGTATGAAATATTTTGAATCATTCGCAATAATAATTGCAATCAAGAATTTACACTTAGGATTATATTTGAATTTTTTTATTGACAATTAAAGAAAAATAAAATAAAAGTATATTAAAAGATACTTTTAAAATTTGAGGATTAGAGTGAATATGTTTGAATTATTAATTTTAGCAGTAATAGATAATAAAATTTTGATAAAGAAAAGACTTACATATTAAGAAAGATTACATTTGTATTTATATTAATGAAATGAATGTAATAAACTTTAATATTAATTTGAAATTTTATCAAAATACAAACAATGAACATTAAACCACGACTTTATGGAGATGCAAATTTAAAAAAGAGACCATCCTATTTTGAATTTGAAAATATGGAGATTCATTATGGGTATTTGGAATGAGTAAATTTAGATAACTTGATAATTATGAGATTGTAAGGAAGATAGGAAGAGGAAAATATGCAGAAGTTTTTGAAGGGATAAATGTAAATACACTTCAAAAGGTTGTTATCAAAGCTTTGAAACCAAGTATGAGAGATAAAATATTGAATAGTAAGATAGAAGAAGATAAAGAGAGAAATCAAAATATTACAAAATTTGAATGGATAAAACAATGTGTTGAAATTACTAGATGTAGTATTTGATCCAGCTTCAAAGACTACAAGTTTGATTTTAGAGTTCATCAATAACACAGATTACAGAGTATTATACCCTTAATTGCAGGATTAAGATGTTCGCTTTTATATGTATGAGATTTTGAAAGTAATTTAAACTATATTAATAAATAGTCCCTAGATCATTGTCATAGTATGGGAATANTTACATTAATAAAAAAAATCCAAATTTTCAAATCGTTTAGATACTAATAAATATATCTATCAAAATAGTTAACAAATGTTTTTTATATCTTGAATAATCACAATAGATGCTACTCTATAATATCTGTGTTTACAACAGATTAGTATTTTTGCTCGAAAAGCCTATTATTAAAGTAGCAAAGTATTAGACTTGTAACTTAATTATTCTCTAGTCTAATAAAATAATATATTAATTAATTAATGTAATCAGTATGAAATATTTTGAATCATTCGCAATAATAATTGCAATCAAGAATTTACACTTAGGATTATATTTGAATTTTTTTATTGACAATTAAAGAAAAATAAAATAAAAGTATATTAAAAGATACTTTTAAAATTTGAGGATTAGAGTGAATATGTTTGAATTATTAATTTTAGCAGTAATAGATAATAAAATTTTGATAAAGAAAAGACTTACATATTAAGAAAGATTACATTTGTATTTATATTAATGAAATGAATGTAATAAACTTTAATATTAATTTGAAATTTTATCAAAATACAAACAATGAACATTAAACCACGACTTTATGGAGATGCAAATTTAAAAAAGAGACCATCCTATTTTGAATTTGAAAATATGGAGATTCATTATGGGTATTTGGAATGAGTAAATTTAGATAACTTGATAATTATGAGATTGTAAGGAAGATAGGAAGAGGAAAATATGCAGAAGTTTTTGAAGGGATAAATGTAAATACACTTCAAAAGGTTGTTATCAAAGCTTTGAAACCAAGTATGAGAGATAAAATATTGAATAGTAAGATAGAAGAAGATAAAGAGAGAAATCAAAATATTACAAAATTTGAATGGATAAAACAATGTGTTGAAATTACTAGATGTAGTATTTGATCCAGCTTCAAAGACTACAAGTTTGATTTTAGAGTTCATCAATAACACAGATTACAGAGTATTATACCCTTAATTGCAGGATTAAGATGTTCGCTTTTATATGTATGAGATTTTGAAAGTAATTTAAACTATATTAATAAATAGTCCCTAGATCATTGTCATAGTATGGGAATAATACATAGAGATATTAAACCTCATAATATAATGATAGAAAATGAAAAGAAGGTATTGAAATTAATTGATTTTGGATTGGCAGAGTTCTATTTCCCAAATAAAAATTATAATTGTAGAGTGGCTTCTCGATATTTTAAATCTCCTGAACTTTTATTAGATTACTAATATTATGATTACAGTTTAGACATATGGAGTTTGGGATGCTTATTTGCTGGAATAATCTTTTAACAAGAGCCATTCTTTCATGGATAAGATAATAATGATTAGTTGGATAAAATAGCAAGAGTATTAGGAACAGATGATTTAATGATTTATCTCTAGAAGTATAACATTTCATTAGGTCCAAACTTTGAAAATGTATTAGGACAACATCCTAAGAAACCACTCAACAAATTTGTTAATGAAGATAATGAGCATTTAGCTAAGGCAGATGCGATTGAATTATTATAGAGTATGCTTATCTACGATCATGTAAATAAATATATTCACAAATCTAGAATTTAAGAATTACAGCCAAGGAAGCTATGTTGCATCCCTATTTCCAATCAATCAGAAAGAACTCTAAAAGGTAATGATAGTTAGAGTCTTAAATTAATATCAAATATAAGCACCATTATTAATAGTTATTATTACAAATCTTTTTCCTCTCTCATTCTATCATCAAATTATTTAATAATCAAGCAATAAATTTAATAATATAAAAATTATCAGACATTCAATAGGCTTTGCTTGATTTCAGTATTCTTTGCAACGATTATTAAAGTGTAGATAATTCATGAGCATGACTAAACTTTTAAATATAATGTCATACCCTCTTGTAAAATTAGTTAATTCAGTTCTTGGAATTGCATTCAATTTAGCTGTTAGCTATACAATATCTGATTATGATATTGATGGGTTGTTTCGATTAAGTCTCTCATTAAATTAAATTGATTTTGTATAATTGAGTTCTGGACCTGATTAATAGACTATATCATTTCCCATTCTCGTTATTCCACTATTTTGTAATTATAGTTCAATGTCCAATTTAGAGTCCCAATTCTTAAATCTATCTAATTTATATTTAGCTCTTGTAGGTGAATCCTAAAACTGTTGTTTCTATTGTGGTTTATGAATCATTGGAGATGAACTCTAATGAATACTGCTGTACACTACTTATGTTTGTTTGCGGGGACTAAGATTATTATATTTTTTTTAATTACTGAAATTCTCCTACAACCAATCCATCAAGTCCTTTTTACTTTCGTTCTGGTGATTCTCTGAATAATCTCATTCTTACAGGGGAAACATTTGTTGTATTTGCTGCTTTAACACCTTTATGGAAGGAGTGATCAGCATTTCCTATTTTACTTATAGCTGTAGATAAAATTCCTAGCTGATTGCTTTGCTTATAAATTTTGCTAGTGTCTCCCAAATTAATTGAACTTGTATTTAACATTATTTTATTGCAATTTTATTTTTAATACTAAATTTATTACTATTAAATTATTGCTATTTATATTCATCAAATACAATTTTTAGTTTTTCAATATTACCAATATTGCGGTATTTTATAGGAATATAATTATATACCATCTTCATAAATATATAAATATTTATTTATTTTAAACTTTAACTATACAGATTATCTTATTTTCAATTTCTTATCTCTTTCAAGATTCTTGAATTCATATTTTAAAATATAATATTTAGATTTTTAATTTCTTCATATTCATTTTTAAGATATCTATTAAAAAGGTCATTTTAATAATTTGCATTCTAGCTTTACTATTTTGAATAATTTTTAATTTATTTCTCTCGCTAAGCCTGTTATAAATTATCTAAAGATATTGATATAGCTTAATTCTTTATTTTAAATTACATACATATTCATAATTTGTTATAAAGATTTTTTAATTTAGATCTGATTTAAAATGAGAAAAATTGCCAATAAAGCTAGATTAATATTAAAATAAAAAAAAATCAATTAAAAAAATAGATAGTAATCATTAATTTTTTCTAAAAATAAAAAGAGAGATTAATAAATAGTATCTTTTTATTGATTTATATCAATTAATTGGAAAAGAAATTAAAATTCTTGGAACTAGTAAATCAAATGTATTTTAGATACCAATAAATTATCAATGATGATTAAATAAAATATTAAGAGTATTTAAATTCTATTTTCTGACAAATTATATTTTAAATAAAATAGGCTATCATATTTAATAAAGTTATTCAAAAAGAAAATTTTAAATCTATAATTTTAATTTTTTATACATTTAAAATAAACCTCATCTTAGGTTTCAATCTCCCTCTGAATTTCGATATAATAGTAATTAAATACTTTGAATATTTTAAATAGGAATAGATAATAATATGAATAATTATTTATTTTATGCTTGATAATAAATCATTATGGTTGTAATTGTTGTTCTGTTAGATTGACTTTATAAAATTCATTTTCAACTCTTTAATTTCTAGAAGCAATTAATTTAGCTAATTTAACTTTTTTATAATATAAAAGAGCTGCAATTAGTATTGAGATACCAATTACTGAGCAAATAACAGAAACAACAATAACAACAGTATTAGATTGTTTTTCATCTGAGGAAATAGATTTTAAAATTTTTCCAGGACTTTCATGATTTATATTGTTGTTATCAGTTTCTGTCTGATTGATTGTTTCATCCATTGTAAATATTACATCTGTATTATTTGAATTATTGGGATCATGATGATCAGAACCTCCTGTTGGTTAATTTTAATTTGTATTTTGATTAGAGTTACCATCATTTTGATTATTTGGAGTAGATTCTGTAGTTCCTGTAGATTGAGTAGAGGCTAAAATATTAAATAAATATACGTGAAGTTGGTTCAGTGCTTGGGAAATTTAATTAATCAATGACAGTTATTGTAGAATTTAATTCTAAGACCTTACCAATTTCTGGAGGAGGATTGAAAAACTCTAATCTACTTGCAAATTATGCTAATATAGATTATGAATTAGAAGATGTTTCTGTTCCAATATCAGAGGTATCAACAATACCCCATTCAACAGAGACTTAAAAGCTACCTGTTTCTTCCAAGAATCTTCTTGTTGGTTTTTTTATGCCGATAATAAAATAATTGAAAGGATCACCACCAATTTATGCTCTAGCATATTATAAGAATTTATCACCATAGAATTAATCTGATGATATTTCAAGTTTAGTTGATATTTAGAGTGTATTTTTAAGTGCAATTTTAACTTTACATCCTAGTTATGCATTGACAACAAAATGAATAGTTCTATTTTCATAGAAATAATTATTTGCTCCACATTGGTTTGTCATAGCCATAAGATCATGATGTTTAGAATGAGTAGTTAAACCCGGTTAGATAGGTTTATCATTGACAAAAACTTAAATAAATTGAGGAACAGAGAATTGCCACATTAAGATAATAAAATCTTCAGGACTACCAGTTTCTCTTCTTTTAGATAATTAATATACTGATGAAGTAGGATTAAATCCTGCATTAGTCATATTAATAATTGTATTTGTAGTAATAAGGGCAACGAATTTAGATTCTCTTAAATTTAAAGGTTCTGATCCTTACCAAGCCCATTCCATTTAGCTGTTAATTTCATTAAAGAAAGATCCATCAGTTAATTTAATTGGTGAATACAATCTCTTCTTATAATCAGGAGCTAGACTCATAAATCCGATAGTTGTAATAAATCTGCCAGGACACCAATATCCATTCCAAGATTCTTATCTGGCACAATATGTAACATTTGGTCCAAAATAGGAATTATTTCCAATTGCTTGACCAATCTATCCAAAGAAATGTCCTGTTTAATCTTCAATTAAAAAGTTTATTAATCCTGAACAACCAAATGAACCACATCCGCCAAACCATCCTAGTTTTGTAAGATCAGTTCCTAATGTTTTGTATAAAAGTGCATCAAATTAACAATTTGTACATGGAGAATTAATTAAATAATGTTATCCTGACATATCATGTGCTCCTTTATGTTATCTGAAAGCAGCATTTTCTCCACATTATGGAATATTATCATAAGAAATTCTAAAATTATGAAATTCCACATTTGTTAAGTAAACTTCAAGATCAATCTTTTAAGATGTACATATAACATCCATTTCTGAAGATATTGGTTTATCTATAGGAGGAAATGCTGTAGTGGATACAGTTCCCATTTAAATACCCATAGACCCTTTGCAATTTGGATTAAGAGAAGCAGAATAACATTTTATACAATCAGGTCTACTTAATGCTGAAATATAGATATTATTAAGCTTAATCTTATTTTCATAATAATTCCATGAACCAAGTTTTAATACAATTCCTCTATAATTTTCTGCAAATAAACTGTTTTCCAGTTCTACTTGTTCACTTTAAACTGCAGACATCACACCTGCTTCACTGTGATGTGCTGATAAGCCTGATAAATAGGTACATTTACTGGAAACCTATCTAACAGCATAGCAGACTAATATAGTACCTGAACAATGATTATTATAAAATGATGATACTTAAGCATCACTACATTTACTACCCATTATAAAAAATCCAGTATCTTAAGATCCTTACCCTACATTACCTGATATGTCTAAAATATCTCTAGTCATCTAAGTTGGTCTTAATTCACCCATGTATATGAAATTGCCAAAAACTGCCCAGTTCGCTATGCCGCCCTCAAATTCTTAGACCATTCTCTTTTTAACATAAATCATAGCATTATTCTAAAATTTCACATATTAACTGTTATTAATCTAAACCAAGGCTTTTATTGCATTGAAAAAGATATTATTCTTAATCGTTATGTATTTTGAATTTTATATTGTCATTAACATTCCTGTAGTATCATGAAATGAGCATCCAATAACCTCACTAGATGTCTTTATAATATCACTGTTAAGATTTCTAAAATCTAATCCACTTCTTTAAGTATCAAATTAACCACAGTTATTGAATTCTACTCCATGTAATATTGTGTAACCTCTTCTTGGAAACCCTAAATTAGCTTCAGGTTCTTCAAACTAATAAATCAAAACTCTGCATCCTAAACCATGAACACTAGGTCCTCCTTCAATCTTAATCTTTCTACTTAAATGGCCAACTACTGCTCTCATATCTAATTAACCAACTCCTGGTTTATCTACTGTCACTTAAGGAGCTCCATAATGATCAAATTCTAATGCAATATTCAATGTGATAACACATCCTTAAATACTCTATATTATTCTTTTCTCCCGTTAATCAGGATTTGACCCTGATGGTCCAAATACAATTTCATCACCTACACCCCAACCTCCGCATTCTACTACCTAAATTTCAGTACTTCCAGCATCAGCATAAGCAGCTAATCTTGTCCATACAGTTTCTGGAGGTGTTGAATATAATTCTAATCCTCTTGTAACTGCCAAAACTTTGTTTCCTACATCTAAATTTGCATCAATTACTAATGGGTTGTCTCCAAACTCTCCATTCAGTATTATAGTAATTTTACCTGGAAATGGATGACTTTCATTCCCTGCTAATAACTTACCTGATCTTATCCAAATCCTTTCTGCTTCTAACTTTGTATGTGCTCTTCTTTCATCAAAAATCAAAGTACCCAATATTGTTAAATTAGCTAATTTCGGTGGATCGACATCCAATATTACTTGATGTGATCCTTATACAATAGGACTTTCTCCTTCAATAGGTACTTGATTATTAATCCAAGTATTTGGATCACTCCAATATCTGTATCCATCTTCTAATTTAGTATCTCCTAATGAGCTGCATTCCTTTCTGCAAATTACTCCTCTAACTTCAACATATTCATATTTTTTTTTGTTTTTTCCCGATAAACATAAAAAGAATAGCTTGTTAGTTCTATCATTAAACCAATCACCTTGATTGCACAAATTAGTATCTGGAATTTAAGTTAAAGAATTGTAGTTAAGCGGAAACATTTTTTCAATATGTCTCATAACATCAAAAGTTTCCCTATGAGCAGAATAATTAAAACGTAAAATAACAGCTTTATCAGTTTCTGTAAAATATGGTGATGCAAAGACTCCCATACTAACAGGATCACTGGCTCCAAGTTTGAAATGAATATTGTAAGTGAATCCAGTAGCAAAGATACTGACAAATGATTTTGGGACATCATCACTTCCAGCTTTAATAATCATCATAGTTTCAGCTTCTATGTATTTATCTTCATTAATTGATTAATCCATTTTTTCAGCAATATTAGTACTATCTAATCTAAATATTTTAAGATCTACACCCTTAAAATCTTAATCTGGTGTTGGATTATTAATTAAAACATCTCTTATAGTAACTTGATTCATAGCACAGATAATAGAATTATCCCAATAATCTTCTGGATGAGTAATACATCCTGGAATGCCATCAATATGTTTTTTGTATGGTATTATATAGGCTCCTCCATCAACACCTGTAATTGATCCATCTAAATCCCAGAATATTTCTCTTCTATGTTTCTACCAAAATATTCTGTTAGCTTAATCAGAATTATATGCTTTTACATTTAAAAAATGAGAATTCTTACCACCTTAAACCCATACAAAATCATGCCAACACATAGAACAAGATTCTATTAATGCAGTATTGATTCCAAAATTATAAATTCTAATATTTTTAGCAAGAAATCCATTTGTTCTTGGTACAACAATAGCTCTAGATCCTTAGTAATATTTGTCTGGTTATGCATTGCCAATAGATTTTCCTACAATCAAAGCATTATCTAAAACAGCTCCCTCATAAGAATAATTTGTTCTATGAGATTAGAATCCTGAAAATTTAGAATCAGCAATCATTATATCTTTAAAGTAAATATTACCTAATTCTTCTCCTAAGATTCCACATTCATTATTTTTCCAAGTATAGAATTTTTCAAAAACCGCTTATAGACTTGGATTATCAATATATGGTTAATCATTTGTCCAATTTGCTAGTTCCTAACAAGGATATTATCTAGGTGCCATTTAGAATATACGTAGTCCAAATCTACCATTTGAATGAGACCAATTATTTTTAAATTCTAAAAGATTTAAACCTGGTGGACAAATATCTGATGTAGCTGATGGACCATCAGGATGAGTTTTAATTTCATACCAAAATCCATACCATTCAGAACCTCCAGATCTATTTCTTCTTAATATATTTTATGGATTAGTAACCCAATAAGTAGAAACAGTAATATCTGTTTATAACATTATCCAACTTTATTTAGTACCTGCAACAAGATTATCTTCAATAACATTATTAGTTTCAATACCATCTTCTAAAAATATGGCATGTCCAAATGTGTTATAACATACATTCTTTTAAACTTTTAAATAATGAACTCCATGAATAGTTAAACAACGTGCATAACAATCATGAATAGAATTACCAATTACATATGAATTATCAACTTCACCATTTAGATGAAAATGAACTGGATATCTCCCAATAATTTTTGGTTAACCCCCATATCTGAATTCAGTATATGAGATTTTACCAACTGCACCCTTTTCAGCTCTACCATGAATCATCAAATGATATCCATACTTTAAACTTGATTACTCTCCTTGAATAACAATATTTCTACTCAGCAATCCAACCTCAATCTTCATTTCAAATTATTCATTACCATATGTCTCTATTTCAGAATAATGTTTATATAAAAGTGGTTAATCAAGATTCAAAGTTCTCTTATCTGCACTCACTGAAACAATATATCTTTTTTCACTTTATAAATGTTAAACTTCACTTGATGTTATCACAATTTACTCTCCAACTTACCAATCTACAGGATCATCAACTCTTATTTAAGTAGCTCCAGCTTAAACTGTATTTGATAATAATGTCCAAGTAGGAGTTCTTTCCTTTCCATGAATTATTAATTCACATTGATGACATCCTAATACTTTATTTCCCATTTCAGGCATCTATGTATCATCTTCAGTACCATATAAAGTTATTTATACTTTATGTTAATGAGCCACCTAATCTGTTCCAATATTGAATTTGCCTTCTCTTATAACGATATAATGAGCATCAATAGATGTATCAACTTCATCAGAAATTGTTAATGTGCCTTCAACTAATAACTGCATTAACTTAGGCGTTCTAACATCTACTATTAATGTTTATCCTGCATTTACAATTATTGAGTCACCATCTCCAGGATATTCATAGCCTCCCCAAGTATTGATATCTGACCATTTATTAGCATATATAAATTTTTAATTATTCACTGCTAAATTTCCATTCACTCTCACTTAAAATATTCCATTTAATTATGTCTATTCTAAATCTTTTACTCCAGTCTTACAGATTATTTACCCTAAAGAAATGCTTTCAATAATACAAGGCACTCCATCAATAGTAACTGTAGTTTATCCATCCACAAATCCTATACCAGTAATAGTGACATCTACCTATTCACTAAAACTTCCCGTTAAAGGACTTACTGTGTTGACAATTGGAACACTGTTTTATGAATAACTAGCAGCATTTTATATTGTACCCATTACTTGACCATTAATTTTTATATTTGCATTACATATAGTAGGAATTGAGTAAACATTATTACTATTTGATAAAACCCAACCTTTTAACTCCAATTCAGCCAATTAACATTTTGAACCACTTGTTCCTCTTGAATCAAATAATCTGATTTCCTTTATTCCAGCAATATCTCCTTAAGGAACATAAATATTCCAACCAGTATGCACTGTTTAATCTACTGTAAATAAATTCTACCAATTTGTTCCATCTATTGTATATTAAAAAACAGCATCTTTCAAATAAATTGCATCTATATCGATTCTTGGAAGATATCTCAATTATTTAAGTTTTAATCTTTTATTTGATCCAAAATCGACTTACAAATAACAGTTACTTGAAGCTGTTGATATATAATATGTCGATTATTGGAAATCTAAAAAAGATTATACTTATGAGGGTGTATCAGCATATAAATCAACTTCTGATTATTTAATATATCGAGCAGGCTCTTATAACGCAGGATATTGATTTAATACAGAAGCTGTCAATAATTTAGGGGCTTCACAAGAAATACTTGTGAACTATGAGTTTATTATTGGGCAATCAAATCCACAAATCTATATTGAGCTGAATTCGGTTGTTGTATCAAAGCCATTTCCTGTAAATATTATTGTGGCACCACCAGCATAAGATATTGTTGGATTGTTTGTTGTTGGAGGAGATGTGCTAATTATTAATTATTATTTATTAACATCAGAAATGTAGGCATACATGTTATCCAATAATAAGTTTATAGAATAAATTCCTACTGGTGCATTTGTAAATTTAGCTGTTACTGATGTATCTAATGATGCTTAAATAGTGCCTATAATTTTATGATTCATATGTTCCAATGAAGGAATAATATTAGTACCGCTTAGTTGAGTACCAGTAAACACTAATATAATATCTCCAGCTGTAACTTTATAAGCCTTTTAAACATTATCATAATTGGCACCACTAATAGAAGTGATAGTTGGAGAATTAGAAGATGACTTGATGGTCAAAGGAAATTCAACAATGTAAGGATCAGGAGAACTATTTTCAGATGGTAATTATGACAATATTACAGTTGCAGAAGTACTTGATTATTTTGACATCCTACATTAAAGTAGTATAGTTGAGATCGCTTACAATTCTGTGCAAATAGTTGATCCGATTTTTACAATAGGAGATTGTTTAGCATTAAAGCCTGCACCATTAATTTATAATATTTATCCTCCAATGGCAGCATTTTCAATGGAGGTAATAGTTAATTCAATAATACTAATCCAGATTTTATCAGCATATCCATTTTAAGTTAAAATGTAAGTAGAATAATATCCTTGTGGTAGATTTGGAATAGTATAAGTGAAAGAACCACCATTAAGAGATGCTGTTACTGTTTCTGTAATAGGACCTTGGAAAACAACTTTAACAATCAAAGTCAAACCTGTTCCAGTTAATGTTTCTGTATCTCCTGGCTTATATATTTTTTATTGACTCAATACTAAATCTGATGATGATAGCAGATTTCTTCTTGGAGATTTACCAACATTTAAAATATGATTATTGCCTTACTTCTTTGATTCTTCTGTCCATAAGAATCTCTTTCTTGAAATTAATTTTTGATAATCTGGTTTTGTATGATCAATTTCTGTTAATAGTCTTGATCCTGCAGATTATGTAACTAATTCAGGATAAGCATCTAGTTTAGGAGTCAATTAAGAATCATATATAAATTAACAATTATTGGTTGTATCAAGGCAGGTTGATTCAAGTGTTATTTAAAGGGTTACTAATACTAATTAGGGTTCTTAATTATAAAATTAATTTTTAGCAGGAACAGTACAATATATAATTTCTGTTGTAAATCTACTTTCATCTATTTCACATAACCAATTAACAGCTTGACCAATAAAAACAAGAGTTTCACCTTTAACAAAATTGGATCCAGTAATTTTAATAACAGTTCCTCCTGCTTCAGAACCTTAGGCTTAACTACTTCCATCTTCTAAAGTTACACTATATATTGGAATTATGTATTTAAATAAATTATCATCATTATTTGAATATGAATTACCAAAATTCTTTTTTGTAACAATAACTCTATAATTACCAGGCATACCTCCTCTCAAATAAACTATAATTTAAGTATCAGTTATTAATAATACTTTAGCATTATAAGATTTGTTTCCAACTAAAGTTACTTTAACATCTTCCTTGACTATTCCAAAATTAACTCCTGTAATTGTCATTTCTCCTCTAAATATTGGAGATTTTTATTAAAATTCCAAAGCTGTAACTTAGAGTCTTAATGAATCATCATAAGTTAAAGAACTTGATGCTGTTTTTTAGTTAAACCTAAGAGAAATAGCTCCTGTTCCACCAATAATCTTTTTTGGGGTTATGAATATTAATTCACTATTTGAAATTGATAATATTTTAACATCTTAACCATCAATCTAAAATATGAATTCTCTGTCCAAGTTTTTAGGAAAACCAGTACCAGATAATGTAATAGTTGTACCACCATCTGGTGATCCCATATTAGGTGATATTGAGATTATATTTAAATCTATATTTTATCCTTATAAATTTTAATCTATTTTAGAATACCCAATATCTGAATGATGAACAATTGGTAATTATCCATCTCCTGCTTCTTTTATAATTTATTAATTCTACTACTCTAAATCACATGTTATAGTATAAGGAGAGACCTAATTAGTAATTTAAATATTATTGCAATCTGCTCCTAAATATTGAATTTAAAGATTATTTGAATTTAAAGTTAAATCAATTCCTTACTGAATGGTAATCGTTAAAATAGAACCAGAAACTTAGTAAGCTGTTAAAGTAGGTGTTTTTTCATCACTCAAGGTTAAATCACAAACAGACTATTATGCACATCCAGCAAGAATTTATTCAGATTCAATTACAGTATCTCCTTCTTTATGTTAATATTGAACCTCAACTTAAACTTATGGATGTTGGCTGTAAGTGAATAATAATTCATTAGGAATTGGCTCAAATAACAAATTATTACTATTAGGTAATGGTTAGGTAAGTGAAATAGTAACATCTCCATTACCAGATGTTAATAAACTACTTGAAACTCTAAAATCACTTAGACCTTCCAAATGTGATCTAAGTTTAATAAACCATGTCCATCCATCTTATGCTCTTCCAGTTGTCCACACAAAAGGTCTTTAACCTGTCAGTCTTTCAATATTATCAGCTATTATTGAACTAGCTACATTATAATTCAAATCATAGTTATTATCAGATGCTTAAAATAAATTATCTTGACCATTAATAGTCATCATTAATTAAAATGTGCCACTAATTGGATCTAAAGGAATCTAAATACATTCTATCTTTGATTCAACCACTCCTCCATTAAGAGTAGATGCTGTTATTTTTGGAAGTGCTCTGTAAAGTATTCCTCCTCTATGAGAATCAAATGTAATTTTATATTTGTATCCAGCAAATACAGTTGCTGTATCTTCTAATTCAACCCCTTAATTATCTAATTTTTATCTAATAACTGAAACTAGATAATTTGCCCCACAATTTTGTATAGCTGTTTTCATTGTATCAGCATTGGAATTTGGATATAATTCAATTGTTGTATAGGAATAATAAAGATCTGTCTAAGGGTAAGTCTTAATTCCATAAGCAAATAAAAGTCTATATTTACCAGTTAATAATGAGTTTGTATTTGAGTTATAAAGGGAAAACTCGATTACTTCTTTAAGAGGCGTATAGGATGTAGATATTTAGTATAAATTATTTAATGAATTAGATTTTCTATTCTCACTCTCAAATTCCATTGACAGAGTTAAATGACCTTCAGAAACACCATTGAGGTGATATACTTCAATGTAATACATTTAACCTTCTTGTAAACTGATAGTCTCAGATATTGTTTTGATTTATTATTAGGAATTCAAGTATTCATACCAATAGTTTTTATATGGATTCCAATTGCTTGATGCGACTGGATTATCAGGCCTAATTGGCTTTTAAGTTTCAGATGTTTAGATATAGAAATTAGCACAATTATCTGAAGAAATGTAAAATTTATAATTCCCTGTAAAAGGGGCTTTCAAGAACCCTCTCAAATATTATCCATAATTTTCTCCAAAAACATTATAGATATCAGGTTCAGGATAGATTCCATCGAATTTGATTCTACTATCTAAAGTAGCTTTATTAATAATAATTTATTATCTAAATGATGGGCAATTAAGATTTAAACCAGATACATCCCATCTAGTGTAATGTAATCCACTACCTTGAATAAAAAAAGAATTCTCTGTTGCATCTTCTAATTTTGGTAAATTGATCAATTTAGGTATCTTTACAATAATGTTTGTAGATGAAGAAGATAACACTTTAATGTTTTCAGATTATCCTGAGATTTTAACAGAATTCTCATTAAATATCGGACTAAAACCAAAACCAATAATCTCTAGTATTTATCCTTCTGGTGATGCATAGTTTGTATTGATACTTGTAATCAATGGAATCACTCTTAAATATTTACATTATTTAATTACTTTGAGTCGTATGTTCTATCTGAAAGGATTCTCTTTTATTTTACTCCATTATCATTTGTTTGATATCCTCTCTATGATTTTATTGTATATCCATAGTATCCAGCTTTAATTTCAGCTGAAATTTAACAAACTACTCCATCATCTAAAGAATTTATTTCTTTTGGATACAGATCTTAAACTGTGAATCTATCACATCTATTAGCATCCATAAATTATCCTTCTAAATACTCTACCGCATTACTAGTCACTGTCCACTTAGCTCTCCAATAACTTAGACTCCTTGGAAAATTTGATCTTGGAGTCACATAAAATAATTTTGGTGTCAAATTCTGAGAATAAGTAAACCTACAATACCCATTACCGTAAGTACAAACCGAGTCTGGCTTATCCAATACTTTAATAACTATTTTTAGAGCTGATAAGTTATGGTCATCTGCATCTGGTTTTGTTGTTTTGCAATTCATGAACAATCCGTTAACACCTTTATCTGAAATTAAGCAAGGATACTTTCCAATATATACTGCATTGTTACTTGCAGTCTAGTCTAATCCTTATACCTAAATATATAATGATATTATAACTTTTAAATATAATGTCGTCCCTCCCATCATTGATCCTACTGCACTCTATTTCTCTATGCCCAAAACACTTGAAACTGATAGAATTACAACTGCATCTCTTGTTGTGTCTCTTGATGAATCCACCATGGCTAAATATAAATACACTTTTTAACCTTCTACTAAAGTTAACATCATTAATACTAGCAAACTTATGATCATTCTAATCATCATTATTTACTATTATTTTCAAGAAAATTAATAAGTCATTTATTAAAATCTTTGCAACACTTAAATACCCAAAAAATATCCTTATTAAAATTTCAAAAAATATAATAATTATGTGTTTAAGTAATATTGAAATATTATCTAGAATTCAATAAATAAATATTAAAATAAATTGAATAATCATTCATTATTGCTTACTTTTATAGTAATAACCATATCTATAACATTTCTAATAACAACAAATTTAGTTTAAATATAATAAAATTTCAATATACAAATTTCATAAAATAAATATTTTATTATTATTTGAATCATATTTTAATTTTTTATTATTACAATCATTACATCAATGTAAATGCATAAATCTTTTAACTTTATTTCTTCATTATGATTTTTTATTGACAATTATCATATTTAGTCTTTCTTTTTTTAATCTTCCTCAATTCTTCATTTTAAAACCTATATTCATTTATTTCAATTAATAACTTTTTTATTTTTACTTTTCAAATCATTTTTAATGATAAATCAAACATCTCATTAATTCAAATCTTAGCTTCTTCCTCTAATCAAAATATCTTATGGATACTGATTCTTATTTATAATTTTTAAATCATCAATATTTTATAATTTTTTAGTTGATTAAAAACAATTACTTAAAACTTATTTTATTCTTTTCTTCCTTCTAAATGATATTTTACTTTTTTTATATAAATATATTTCTGAACATAATTAAGAAATTAACATCTAAAATATGAATATACTGATAATGTTTCTAATAAAGGCGTATTTTTAAATTAAATTTAGATCTTAGTTCAGATTATTACTAAATATAATTCTGTTTCTCAAAAATATTATTGAGGCAATTTATAAGATATAATAATATACTTATAAAAAAAACGTGATTAAAAGATNTGTGTCTCTTGATGAATCCACCATGGCTAAATATAAATACACTTTTTAACCTTCTACTAAAGTTAACATCATTAATACTAGCAAACTTATGATCATTCTAATCATCATTATTTACTATTATTTTCAAGAAAATTAATAAGTCATTTATTAAAATCTTTGCAACACTTAAATACCCAAAAAATATCCTTATTAAAATTTCAAAAAATATAATAATTATGTGTTTAAGTAATATTGAAATATTATCTAGAATTCAATAAATAAATATTAAAATAAATTGAATAATCATTCATTATTGCTTACTTTTATAGTAATAACCATATCTATAACATTTCTAATAACAACAAATTTAGTTTAAATATAATAAAATTTCAATATACAAATTTCATAAAATAAATATTTTATTATTATTTGAATCATATTTTAATTTTTTATTATTACAATCATTACATCAATGTAAATGCATAAATCTTTTAACTTTATTTCTTCATTATGATTTTTTATTGACAATTATCATATTTAGTCTTTCTTTTTTTAATCTTCCTCAATTCTTCATTTTAAAACCTATATTCATTTATTTCAATTAATAACTTTTTTATTTTTACTTTTCAAATCATTTTTAATGATAAATCAAACATCTCATTAATTCAAATCTTAGCTTCTTCCTCTAATCAAAATATCTTATGGATACTGATTCTTATTTATAATTTTTAAATCATCAATATTTTATAATTTTTTAGTTGATTAAAAACAATTACTTAAAACTTATTTTATTCTTTTCTTCCTTCTAAATGATATTTTACTTTTTTTATATAAATATATTTCTGAACATAATTAAGAAATTAACATCTAAAATATGAATATACTGATAATGTTTCTAATAAAGGCGTATTTTTAAATTAAATTTAGATCTTAGTTCAGATTATTACTAAATATAATTCTGTTTCTCAAAAATATTATTGAGGCAATTTATAAGATATAATAATATACTTATAAAAAAAACGTGATTAAAAGATAATCTTTACGAAATGTGATTTAACAATTATTTATCTTGATTTATCCTGCATAGCTTTTTATGCTTTCTTAATTTTTTTCATTTATATACTTTTTTATTATACATTTATTGCTGATAGTAGATATAAATTATATTTTTAAACATTTAAATAAACTATTATTTTATTTTCAAGGCAAACTTTAATTATTTTATAGAACTTCAAATAAATAATTAAGGATGTATTTAATTTTTAATGTTTAATAGATAAATAATCTCAATTATTCGGTTTCTCATATGTTTATATCCATGTTTTTATTCAATCTATTTGCTTTTTTTAATATAAGGCTCTTATAACATATTTGTATTTAAGAATCTCTCCATTAAATTTGAGATTATCCCACTATTTGGATGTATCTAAGTGTCTCCCCATTTTATTAATGTATATGATGTTTAGAATGTATTGATAAAAAATTTATTTATTTTGCTGTGAATATACAATTTATAAAAAAAAGTTTTTACACTTATTTATAAAAAATATATATATTAAAATTTTATTTATATTAAATCAAGATGCATTATAAATCTTATTTTATTCTTTCAACTTGTTTTATAACTCCTCTATTTATTTTTTCTTTTTTTAATCTTCATGAATTTATTCTTATTTTTATTACTTTAAATTTTAAATCTCCTTGTTTAAATAAGCTTATTATTAATTTTATTTTTTTAAATCTATAATCTATTTTCCTAAAGTTTCAACTTAATTGAATAATTCATTTGTTAAATTTTAAAAAAGACTCTAATATTCATTTATTGTTTATTCATCTAATCTATTAAAATTTCTAGATATCACATTTGATTATGAAAAAAATTTTGATAGTTGGTCCTGTGAATCATAAGTTTATTAATAATCTTAAGATTAAAATTGATCTGGCTAAATTAATTATTATTCTTAATTTTAGAATTAATTATTAGTTTGATTTTAACAAGTTTAATTCCTATTTTACTATTTTAATTAATAATATTATGATTATTCATTTTCTTGATTATTTAATATGTTTTCAGCTTTTTGATTGACCTTCTATTGTTTATTATTCAATTAATCTAATTATTAATGTTCATTCTAGAATTATTTATTTTCATACTTATTTTGATTATTTAACTTTCCTATTTAAGTTTGTAATTCTTAAGCTATATTTTATGAATAAAGTTAAAATAATTTGAATATAAATTCTTTCTCTTGTTTATACTTTTCAATTATTGCATGATCTTTTTGTTCTTCGTTTAAATTTTAATATTATTCATTATAAGTTTTGGAAATATTTTCTAATTTATTTGGATAAGTTGAATTTGATTCTTAATTTACAATTTCATTTTGGTCCATTTGTAATTGTTCTTTATTATTAAATGCTTATTTTTCTAGTTAAAGTTAGAATGATTCTATTTAATCATTATTTTAAATGGCTTTATTCTCAACTATTTTTATTTAAGTTAATATCTCATCATATTTTTATTACATTGAAGAATTTATTATTTAAATTTTCCCTAATAATTCATTTTATGTTTAGATTTATTATTGAAAAAATTATTCTTATAATTATTAACATGAAGAATTAAATTATTGTAATCCTTTTTACATATTTACTTCTTAGATCTATTATGACTATTATAATTATTATTATAATTATAATTAATTTTATTCTAATAATTATTATTATAATTGTTATTATTATTATGATGATTCTATTTTTTGAACTTTCTCTTAGAACTCATTTTTATTTTAGATTTATAATTGTGAATATTATTCTTATTATTTTTTATATTAAGAATCAATTTATTCAAAAATTTTTTGAATATTTCTGTCTTAGATTTATTATTACTGATCTAATTATTATTATAATTATAATTAATTTTATTCTAATAATTATTATTATAATTATTGTTATGATTATTATACACTAAATGATTCTAATCTTTTACTTTTCTCTTGCAATTACAACTAAATTTCGATTATTTATTTGTTTTAAGAGTCAATCTATTTTTAATATGCTTCTTACCTTTCTTAAAATTATTAAATTATTTGCGAGTATTTATCTTCAATAATTTTTTTTGTTTATGATTATTTTAAATTGTCTTTTTTAATATCTGATTTTTCTTTCTATTAAAAATCTTATGTTTACAATTTATTCTGAAACTGTTATTATTTTGTTTTTTAACTTTCTGGCTAACAAATAATGAATCTAAAACTTGCACATGATTATAAATCAGATTATTATGATTATTCCAAATAATTTTAATTATTAATACCTGTTTAAGTTGAGGATCTGCTTGAAGGTAATTTTTGCTAATCTTGTTCCATATTCTTCAAAGCCTGAACTAAATCATTAATTTAGATTCTCAGTTAAGAATTTGGATTGAGCATCTATTTTATTAATTTTTTCATTTGATCATTAATTTTTAATTAATTGATTTTATCTGTTAAATAATGTGCATTTGATTTACAATCTAAAATTTATTATTATATTTTTTTTTAATTTTTCCCTAAAATATAATATAATTATAATAACCTAGAAATAAACATTAATTTTAAAAAATTTCATAAAACACACATCCCAGTGACCAAATATCAACAGCACAAGTATAATTTTATATATTTTCTAAGATTTCAGGTGCTTAATATTAAGTTGTTCCAACTTGTATTTGTATTTATTTATTTGTTTATTGTATTTATTCATTTTATCTTCCTATTGAACCAAAATCAATAAGTTTAAATTGATTACCTATTTTAATAAAATTATCAGATTTAATATCTCTATGTATTACTTATTATTTATGTATAAATTATATAGATTATGATATCTAATATATATTTAGTATTTAATAATACTTAAATTAAAATTTCATGTTTCTACTTAAGTTTTAATTAACTCTTTTCTTCGAGAAATTGATTTAAATTTTATTCTCCTTTTTCCATGATCAGAACATCTTAAGTACAATTAGATTGTGTCCATTTAAATCTTTCATAAATTCTTATTAAACCAGATGGCTAATAATTTTACTCACCTATATTAATTTAATTTTCATATTGATTCTGATAATTTATAAGCATATCAATAAATTTAATTTCATTATCTTAAGTATTTTATTAGCATTTTAAAGCATATTATTTTTAATCATTAGTTCCCCAATTAATTGCTTTGGCTAAATAGATCTATCCTTAAGCTCCATTTCCAAGCTATTCTAATGTTTCAAATTTTCTATTTGGAAAGTTAGAATTAGGTGCATTAATGATTATATTCTTGTTATTTTGCTAATTCTATTACATATAGAATATTATTTCAATATTATTTTCATAATAATCGATTATTATTATCCTAATAATTGTTAAAATTCTATATACATAAACTTAATCAAAAAATAAATCAATTTACTCAATATGGAGGAGGTCAAAGGTTAGGAATATTCTAGAAAATAACTGGAAGGCCTTTAAATTATCGAATTACTTTAAATTACTAAAAAAGAATATTAAATTAAAAAATTAGAGTACCAATAATAGTTCATATCTCTCATGAATGTAAATCAAAAAATGATTATGATAAGATTAAAGTCCTGAAAATCAAATTCTAAAAGTTTGAGTTAATAAACAATTAAAAAGTTAACAATCTAAAAAGACTATCGTTGTAGTAATAAATAAATATAAACGAACAAAACTTTTTTAAGAGCTAAAATTCTATTTATTTAGCTTGAAATAATAATCAAAGTTTTTAATTTAACTCAAATTATTGTTTTGGCATGTTAAACATGATATTTTACCAGATTTTTTATCTAAAAATATATAATTAGTAACTGTGTCAAGAATCTTGCAGCAAACTTTCCCTTTTTTTTATAGCTTTTGATATAAGTTTGGTGATAATGTAATTTTTTAGAGGTTTGTTTCTTTGGTCATGATACTTCGCTACCAAAAAATAGAAATTCATGCCTTAGTGATAAAAATAATTTGGTGTTCACCCAATTAATGCAAATATAATGTCGAATTTTTAGAGTTATTTGTTTGTAAATATGTTTTATCCATTCATTTTGAATCTTTATTAATTTAGTTCATTCTCATATTTTTCATCCTTCCATAATTGGAATTTTTTCCAAATATACTTTTCACAAAATTACTTAAACCTACTAATTCCTTAATTTTTTAATTGAATTCATATAATTTTTAATAATTTTTTATCAATAAGTGTCCCATAGATTTTTATAACAAAAATAAAAAGCAAATTAAATTTTAGAATTAAGCTTAGAAAAATCAAAGTGACCAAGAAAACAATTAAATTTTATAATCAAGAAAAATATTTAAGGTAATTATTTCAGATTTAAAATAATAACTCATCTGAAATTAATTTATAATTGAAGTTTGAATGTATTTATCATAAAAATGATTTGAAAAGTAAAAATAAAAAAGTTATTAATTGAAATAAATGAATATAGGTTAAAAAAATGAAGAATTGAGGAAGATTAAAAAAAGAAAGACTAAATATGATAAATGTCAAAATAAAATCATAATGAAGAAATAAAGTTAAAAGGTTTATGCATTTACATTGACGTAATGATTGTAATAATAAAAAATTAAAATATGATTCAAATAATAACATGCGTCTTAATTTACTTGATTCTTTTAAATTATTTAATAAATACCTAAAAGAAATAATAAATATTTTTATTTAACTTTTTTATGAATAAAAAACAATCAATTTTAATTTTTTTAGTTTAAATTATCAATCTACTTTTTGCTCTCATTAGCTTATACTTAAATCTATAATTTTAAATCTTCATTCAATTTATTTAAAGTATCAATCTACTACTTGTTCGCCTTAGTTTAATTCTCATTCTATTGTTTTAAATCTTCAATCACTTTATTAAAAGTCTCAATCTATTTTTTGCTCTCATTAACTTAATCTTAATTCTTTTATTCTAATTCTTTAATCAACTTTGCTTTAGCTTCTATCTATTATTACCTCTCGTTAATTTAAATTTAATTCTTTTATTTTATCTCTTAAATCTCTTCATTTAAAGTATTAATTTACTTTTTGTTCTCATTATTTTAAACTTAATTCTATTTTTTTAAATCATTAATCTACTTTCCTAAAGTTACAACTTAACTAAATAATTCCTGTGTTAAATTTTAAAAAAGACTCTAGTATTCATTCATAGTTGATTCATCTAATTGATTAAAATTTTTTTATAATACATTTGATTATGAAACAAATTATGACAATATGTCTGCCGATGTTTATTCAAAAGTTAATTATTAATCCTCTGATTAATTTTACTTTGCAAAGTTAAATTATAATTGTTGTTGTTAGAATTTATTGTTTTCTTATTCATTAATATTGTTTTAAATTTTATTTTCATCATTCTAATACTATTATTAAGATGATGACTCTTGATTTGATTAAGTATTTGATACATTCTAAGACTATTGTTGATAATCTTATAATAAAATGTCTTCTTAGTTCTTTAGATTGTTCTAAGGTTCTTATTCAATTTACTAATCTTTTTATTAAGATTAGAGTTATTCATTTTATAAAATATTTTATTAAACTTATTAATTATTTGATTAAACTTACTATTATTGTTAATTTTATAATAAATTGTTATCTTAGTTATTTTGACATTGGTCAGATTGATTCTAATTCTGCAAATATTATTCTGACTCTAATTAATTTTACTTTCCTATTAAGTTTTTTAATTCTTAAACTAGATTTTAGTTAAAAAGTTAAAATAATTTGAAGATAAAATCTTTCTCTTGTTTATACTTTTCAATATTTTCTAATTTATTTTATTTAGTTGAATCCGACTCTTAATTGAAAATTACATTTTGATTTTTTTATTATTATTCTAAATTAGTATTCGCTTATAATTAATTCTTTGAATTGTCAATATCAATCATTAATTAATTTCCGTCAACATCCTACTAGTTTTCAACACTATTTGAATTTTCTAGTTAAGTTGAAACAACTTTCATTTCAAAGGCATTATTCTCAAGTGCTTTTATTTACGTTAATTCATTGAATTTTTATTACATTGAAAGTTCTATTATTTTAACTCTCTCTATTAATTCATTTTAACTTTTTTAAATTTCTAAATGTAAATATTATTCTAGTTATTCTTTGAATTAAGAACCGATGGATTCAAATTGTTTTTAAATGTTATAATTTTAGATTTAAGATTGTTATTCTAAAAAATCTTTTAAATATATTTAATTTTATTCTATTAATTGTTATTTCGCTTTTTATGATTGTTATTAGGATTCTATCTCTTTAAATCTCTCTTAAAATTCATTTTTATTTTACGCTACTAATTTTTAATATTCTGCTTATTATTATTATAATGAAGAAGTAAAAGATTATCTTTAATCTTCAAATTATTTTTATATGAGTGTATTTTAATTCTATTGTTGCTATTATGTTGCTTATAAATTTATTTTATTAAATCTCTCTTCTAATTCATTTTTAGTTTATACTACTAATTTTTAATATTCTACTTATATTTAAGAATAAATATTTTTTTCTAATTATTCTTCGAATAATTTTGTATTTTATTCTAATTTTTATTATTACTCTAATTTTAATTAGTTTATTTCTTTTTATGTAGATTTAATTTAGTTTTCATAAGTTTCTTTTTAACTTTATAATGCTTTTTCAATTTTTAATTAGACTTTATTTTCAATTATTGATTAGCATTTATTTTCAATCATTGTTATAATCTATTATTCACTTAAATTGTTTTATAGTTTTTCTTTTTATTCTAATTGTTGTGGTTATATATTCTGAGGCTGTTTTTTTTCTTGTTCTTGTTTTTAATTTGTTTATAAATTTGCAGGAAAACCAGTTCCTCTATTGTCAATTTGAGGATTTTGTACATCTTTTTATTTTTATTCTGTTGGTTTTTCTTAATTTTGCGGTTTCTATTATTCACTTTATATTTTTACATTTTACTATTGTTATTGAGTTCCAGTATTTTTATCCTTCTCAGGAGGTGAAGGAGGAGGTGGCATGATACCCTTTTTTATTAAGTAATTTTATAAGTCTTAATAAACCTTATCTATCGAAGGCCTTTTAGAGGCATCATAATTTAACATCGATATTATCAATTATTTAATCTCTTCTGGAGTTTATAATTATTTTATTTTTGCAAAATCTGGCTTAGTTTTGTGACTTTTTATTAAATTTATTATTTCATTGAAACTTGATCCTAAAAATATAAATTTAGTATACCATTAAATAATGAATTAGAAGATAATACTTCATAAAACACACATGCTAATGCCCAGATATCAACTTTTTCTGTATAATTATTCTATGGTTCTATAAGTTCTGGTGCTTGAAATATTAAAGTGCCAACTTATTATGCTTTTAAGTCGAAAGGGGCAGATCCACGAACCAAGCCAAAGTCAATTAATTTAAAAATATCTCCTACTTTTATATAATTTTCTGGTTTGATATCTCGATGGATTAATTTTTATTTATGTAAAAAAAGGATTGGTTGAGTTATCTATAAGTTTATTAAAAATAAAATTATTACATCAAAACATATTTTTATTTTGTCATCTATGGATTAATTGTTATTTTTAGCTATTTAATCATATAAACTTTCTGAGCCTACTTCCATAATAATGCAATGGTTAGCTTTCCATTCAAAATATTCAAATATTCGAATTATGTTACTGGGAGTGTATTGTTGATTATTTCCATTCTCATAAATGTTTTAATATTGTATTAAATTTTATATAAACTATTTCTCATTATCTTCCATATTCTTTTGAAATTTAAGAGCAACTTTTTTAGGATTATTACCCCAATTATCAGCTGTAGCTAAATATACTGCTCCTTCACCTCCTGCTCCAAGAAGCTTTGTTAATACAAATTATCTTTTAGGATATTCTCTTGTTGGAGCTTCTACAACAGAATTGATCATTTAGTTATATTGCATTCCTAATTCTATTAAATTTTATAAATTAATTAATAAATAATATAATTAAATTTAATAAACAGAAATTTAAGCAGATTTTCTAAAAGCATTAGTGATTCATTATTTTAATATGAAAGGTTAAATCTACAACTTTAGAAGTAAATTTAATTGTGTTCTCTTTAAAAAAATAATATGATGGAATGAGAATTACATTATTTAGGCTTTATGAATAATCTAGAGTTAATAATTATTCTTAAAATTTTAAGCAAAAACAACTTAAAAATATATGAATATAACTAAATTTTTAAATTTAAATTATCAAATATGGGTGTACCAATTATATCAAGATTATTACTTTGTTGTTAAGTTGAGCTTAAAGAGAAAATTAAAATTTATTTGGTAATATTTGATAGATTAGATTAATATTTATTATATGAGGTTATTTAATATCTAGCAATTATACTTATAATTATTGGATAATATTATATTAAAATCTTATAGTCATTGAATTTATTATTGCAGAGCTTTAGTATTAAAATTAAATCAAATTTCATGACATTTAATTTTCATTAATCTAATAGATAAGAATCCTGCCATTCTCAAATATAAAAATAAGCTTAAGGAAATATATTAATTNAAGTTTATTAAAAATAAAATTATTACATCAAAACATATTTTTATTTTGTCATCTATGGATTAATTGTTATTTTTAGCTATTTAATCATATAAACTTTCTGAGCCTACTTCCATAATAATGCAATGGTTAGCTTTCCATTCAAAATATTCAAATATTCGAATTATGTTACTGGGAGTGTATTGTTGATTATTTCCATTCTCATAAATGTTTTAATATTGTATTAAATTTTATATAAACTATTTCTCATTATCTTCCATATTCTTTTGAAATTTAAGAGCAACTTTTTTAGGATTATTACCCCAATTATCAGCTGTAGCTAAATATACTGCTCCTTCACCTCCTGCTCCAAGAAGCTTTGTTAATACAAATTATCTTTTAGGATATTCTCTTGTTGGAGCTTCTACAACAGAATTGATCATTTAGTTATATTGCATTCCTAATTCTATTAAATTTTATAAATTAATTAATAAATAATATAATTAAATTTAATAAACAGAAATTTAAGCAGATTTTCTAAAAGCATTAGTGATTCATTATTTTAATATGAAAGGTTAAATCTACAACTTTAGAAGTAAATTTAATTGTGTTCTCTTTAAAAAAATAATATGATGGAATGAGAATTACATTATTTAGGCTTTATGAATAATCTAGAGTTAATAATTATTCTTAAAATTTTAAGCAAAAACAACTTAAAAATATATGAATATAACTAAATTTTTAAATTTAAATTATCAAATATGGGTGTACCAATTATATCAAGATTATTACTTTGTTGTTAAGTTGAGCTTAAAGAGAAAATTAAAATTTATTTGGTAATATTTGATAGATTAGATTAATATTTATTATATGAGGTTATTTAATATCTAGCAATTATACTTATAATTATTGGATAATATTATATTAAAATCTTATAGTCATTGAATTTATTATTGCAGAGCTTTAGTATTAAAATTAAATCAAATTTCATGACATTTAATTTTCATTAATCTAATAGATAAGAATCCTGCCATTCTCAAATATAAAAATAAGCTTAAGGAAATATATTAATTTAAGTCTTTGTTATTTTGATTTAAAGCTTTTAACCTAAAATATTTATCTATTGTGGTCTTATATATTTTAAAGTATCAAAAAGTAACAATAAATATGTTTAACCAATAAGTTATGTTAACTCTTATGATTGATAGAGAGGTTATTTTATTCATTTTTAATTTTATATTTAATTTATATTTATGTAAATCCATTAAAACATGTCATATTGATAGTTCTAAAGGGACATCTTCTTTCTTAGACTGCAGCTAATTAGTTGAATATATTATTAAATGATGTTGATGAAAATGTTTTGAATTTGATTGTTCAAGACTTAGATCACAAATTTTTTTATCATTAAAAGTAAATTTTCTATAATTTTTAATTGAGAGATGATATTAATAATATTTAATAATCTATATTAAATAATATTTAATAATTTAAATTTATAAATAAAAAATAATTAATTATTAATATTGTGTATTATAATTACTATTGCTAACAATGAAAATACCTCGATTCAATTTCACAAGAGGTTATCAGAAAGCAACAGTTCATTATTGCAAGCATTAAAAATTGATAAATTAAATAACTTTTAATTGTAGCTTTAACAAAATTTGCAATACATATTGTTAATTAAGAAGCTTTGATAAAGATCTTTTAGCTTTAAATGAGATTAGACTCTTTATTTGGATAATCAATTACTACTATATTCTTACAGTTTGTATATTATATTTAAAAATTTACTCAGATATCAGAAAAATATTTAAAATACCCTAATTTATCTTTACATCGATAGTGCAGATTACTCAATTCAGATATAACTAATTTGTTAAAGTACTTAAATAAGTAAGTTTTAAACTAAGTTGTCAACCAAATTTTTGAAAATATTGCCTCCAAATTTTAATGTAATAAATTTATGATTAACTCTTTAAAGCTTTTTTTCACAAAAGCATTAAACTATAAATAATTCTATAAATGAAGAAAAGCATTTAACTAAAATCTAAATCTATTATTATTTCTTAGAGTATCTAAATGACAATTATTGTACAATTTAATTACAAGACCACTATTTCAATATCTCTTTAAGTTCTACATTTTTTTCTGATTATTAATATTATACTAGTCTATCTCTTATATTTACTTCTTATAATTAAATTATGTTGCCTTATAAAATTCTTAAGAATAAATTTTACTTTAATACTTAAAGGGCTCAAAATTCAAATTTTTGTAGAAATTCAATTAAATTTATTTTTAAATATGTTTAAATTGAGGAGAAATGCTCAAAAATTATTTGGAATGATTATTTCTTTATGAACCATATGTTTTGAATAGATTTAGATTATCCTAAATTAAACTTGATTTTTTTCCGTTAAAATTAAAAAAATTTTTTATCTAAATTTAAGTGAATTAGAAATTTGATCTTCTTTTAAATGTAAAAATGTTTGTGAAAAACATTTTCTTTTTCCCCAATGTTAAATATATAATAGTAAATTAAATATTATTGCTAACAGCCAAATTCGATTAAGTATGAATGCATTTCTACTGAAATAAAATAATAATAATATTTTAAAAATCTAGATTATTCCTTAAGTTTAAATAGTGAAAGTCAAAACAATATAGAAAAATACTGAATAATTAAAAATTCTACTTTAATTTGTTTTTGTTAAATTAAAATTTTAATTTATTATTTTATTTTAAAATCTCATAGAAAAAGAAATGTAAGTATATTAATTGATAAACTCAAATGTGGATGCTAAAACAAATGATTATCCTTTAAGGTGTTTTTAAATAACAAAGCTTCTTGGAGCTGGAGGTGAAGGTACAGTATTTCTTTCTACAGCTTATAATTGGGGTAATAATCCTAAACAAGTTGCTCTTAAATTACAAAAGAATATGAAAGATCATGAGAAATAGTTTATATAAAAGTTAATACAATATTAAAACATTTATGAGAATGGAAATAATCAACAATACATTCCCAGTAACATAATTCGAATATATGATTATTTTTTATGGAAAGCTAACCATTGCATTATTATGGAAGTAGGCTCAGAAAGTTTATATGATTACATAGCTAAAAATAACAATTAATCCATAGATGACAAAATAAAAATATGTTTTTAAGTAATAATTTAATTTTTAATAAACTTATAGATAAGTCAACCAATACTTTATTTACATAATTAGAATTTAATCCATCAAGAGATCAAACCAGAAAATTATCTGAAAGTAGGAGATAATTTTAAATTAATTGATTTTGGATTGGTTCATGGATCTGTGCCTTTCGACTCACAAATATAATAAATTGGAAATTTAATATTTTAAGCACCAGAAATTATAGAATCTCAAAATAATTGTACAGAAAAAGTTGATGTATGGGCATTAGCATGCTTGTTTTATGAAATATTATCATCTAAATCATTATTTAATGGTATACTAAATTTATATTCTTAGAATCAAGTAAAAAGGAAATAATAAATTAAATAAAAAGACACAAAACTACTCCAGCTTTTGTTAATGCAAAAATAAATTAATTATAAACTCCAGAAGAGATTAAAAAATTGATAATATCAATGTTGAATTATACTGATAAAGAACGACCTTCAATAGATAAGATTTGTAATGAGTTTTAAAAATACTTAAATAAAAATAATATTGCTTAATAAGTTGTAAATAATCAATCAACTCTTACAAGTCCTGCAAATCAATAACCATTTTAAGGTAACTTAACTGAAGCATAAATAATAAAACTTATTGAAGATAAATATGAATCAAAGATTTAATTTTTAGAATCAATTAACACACAACAGTCGTATAAACAATTATTAGAACAATTATAACAAACATTACAATAGTAATCGATCTAAGAAAATGTACAAAAAGGATTTTAAAATAAACTAACAGACATCGATTCTTCATTAAAGTAATTATAAGAAAAATTAACTAAAGTAGAAAATTAAAATAAAATTCTATAATAAGAAAAAAATACAAATGTAGAATCACTGCAATTATAATTATAACAAAAATAATAATAATTAGAATAATAATTATTATAAACCTAAAATAATATGCAAATAGATTTTGAAAATAAACTAAAAGACATTAATACTTCTTTTGATAATTTCTAAGAAAAAATAACTATAATACAATAAGAGAAAGATGAAAGAATGGAATCATTAAAGATATAATCATAATAAATGGTATAATATTATTAATCATTATTCCAATAATAACAATATTAATAATAATAATTGTAAGATAATCTACAAAAAGTATTGGATAACAAACTAAAAAACATTGATTCTTCAATAAATTAATTAAAAGAATAATTAACTTAAATAGAAAATTATAATATAAATCAATATTCAGAAAAAGATAAAATAATAGAATCTTTGAGCTAATCATAATCATCTTAGAGAACATAATAACAATTATTCGAAGAATATTAAAATTAATTATAATAATTAACTTAATCAATATAGAGTAAACAAATAAGCAACGATTATTCATTAAATTAATTAAAAGAATAATTTACTTAAATAGAAAATTATAAAATAAATCAATATTCAGAAAAAGATAAAATAATAGAGACTTTGAATAAATCATATTCATAACAAATCTCATAATAACAATAATTAGAATAAAATTAATAATAATTAAAAGAATAGTTATAAATAATTTAAAAAGAATATGAAAACAAACTAAATGCCATTGAATCTACATTAAATTAATTATATATAAAAGCAGATATAAAAGATAATTCCCATAAATTCCAATAATAAGAGAAACCTACATCAATATCATAACAAATTTAATTTTAATAATCCGCTTAACAATTATAATCATTACAACAATAACAATAATTAAATTTATCAAAACAATAATAGAACTAAGAAAATTTACAGGATAATATATTTAACAACAACAATTCTGTAATTGATGCTCCTAATTATCCAAATTTTCCTAATAGAAAATTTAAAACAATAAGAATACTTGGAGAAGGAGCACAAGGAACAGTCTATTTAGCTAAATCAATTAATTGGGGATTAAATGATTAAAAATAATTTGCTTTAAAACGTTAATAAAATACTAAAGATTATGAAATTTAATTTGTTGATTATCTGATATAATTTCAGAATTAATATGAAAATCAAAATAATATAAGTTAATATAATTATTAGAAATCTGGATTAATTAGAATTTATGAAAGATTTAAATGGAATAACTAAGATGTTTTAATCATGGAATAAGGAGAGAAAGATTTACAGAAATTCATAAATGAATAGTAATTGTTGACATTTCAATAGAAACGTGACATTTTAATTTAGGTATTATTAAATTATAAATATATATTAGATATCTTAGTCTATATAATTTTTACATTAATAATAATTAATACATAGAGATATTAAACCTGAAAATTTTATTAAAATAGGAAATCAATTTAAACTTATTGATTTTGGATAAATAAGATCAAATGAAGGAACAAATTTAACAATAAGACCTGGAACAACTTAATATTCAGCGCCTGAAATTATAGAAAATAAACAAAATTATACTTTTGCAGTAGATATTTGGTCTCTTGGATGCGTATTTTATGAAATTCTATTATATTAATAATTATTCACAGGTTATTATATTGATATTATTATTTAGGAGAAAGTGAGAATAAAGTAAAATAATAAATTTTAAATTCAGATTATTTGACTGGAAAAATGAATTAGTTAAAAGTAAATGATTAGATCAAAAATTTAATGACAAAAATGCTCAATCCAAATTATTAATAAAGATTATAAATTAATTAAGTTCTTTAGGAGTTAAAGAATATCGAATGTGTATAGAATATTCCTTAATAAAATTTCCCTCTTTAAAAATAAATAAATGATCAATTGAATTAAGAATCAACAAAATAAAACAATTCAATATAGTTTCCGATTTAGAAAGTAGTTTTCCATTAATTTTTATGATTTATTAATAAAATTGTAACATGGAACAATTATCATTAACCAAATTGTGTAAACTTATTCTTTCCAATAATTGATAAAATTAATAAAAAAGTTCTCCTTACTGTCTCTGATCTATCAATGTTACTTGTTTATTTGCATCAATTTCCATTCTTTGTTATGTAGAAATTAAAAAAATTTTTGAATTCGAAGAACGCACTTCTTTTAATTTTCTTTGAAAAAAATTATATAATTAAATACAAATATTTAAACATCTTGTATTATTTTATTAAATTTTATATAAACTCTACCTGATTTTGTTTATGTATTACCAGATTCAAAAATTTTTTTTATAGAAATTATCTTTCAGGATGTTTATTTTTCAGCCTCGATAATTGTGTTGACTATTTTATCAGATTTAAATCTTATTTATATTAAATTTTAAAATTAAATTAAATATATAATAATTTAAATTTAATTTACAACAATTTAAGTTTTTTTTCTAAGGAATCAAAAGTATTTATTATTATTATTAAATCCTTATTTAGGGGACAAAAAAATATAATGTATTTTCATATAAATCATATTTTCAAGTTCATTTTATTTTTTTATATACTTATCTCTCAAAATTTATATTTCTTTTTCATTACTTTCCTTTTCATATCAAGATTTAATAAATTATTGTGTTAAACAGTCGTAAGAAATAGTCTTATAGTAAGCTTAAATTTAAAGCAATTTTACTACTTATTATTGTTTTTTTTATTAATAGAAAAAATTCAATCTTTTAACATTAAAAGGCTAGTTTAAACATTTCAACTAAATCTAACTCATAACTTTTAAAAGATAATTTTCTTAGTTTTTTCCTCCTTTTATAAAGAATATTTAACTTAATAATTGATTTCTTATACTATTATTAAAAAGATTTAAAGTTCTTCTAGTTATTTTAGTATTTCTAGCATTCTTAAATGACTAATCTTTTATTTATTTAATGATTTTTTTCTTTAATTAATTAATTAATCAATTATAAAGTTAATATCTCGATATTTTTTAAAACATGATCAGATAAATTTGTCTAAATTGAATCCAGAAAATAGGATAGTTTTTTGTTAATTAAAATAGATCAGTTTATGACTCACAATTTTTTATTTAATTTTTCGTCAAAAAGTAATCATATTATTATTTGTTTATGTTAGAAAAGTAAAAAGATTATTTTTATTATTAAAGTAGCCACAATGAATTAATAGTTAATTTATTTTCATCTTATAATATTATTAATATTAATCTGTTTAATTATGCTTTAGACCTTTTAAAAATGACCTACTAAAATTTATATTCATGATAACCAAGTCCATTAAAACTCAATGATTTGGCTTATGTATAAAATAAATTAGTCATCCAAATTTCATCAGATTAAGTTGAAATTTTTTCATATTCAGATGATGAAACAATAAATAAATTTAATGGCATTCACAATATTTTCTAATTTTTCGCTTTCGATTCAAAAAGAATTTTTCCTAATGGCATTATTTTCCTTTTTTAAAAAAGTTGGGGTTTTCTCTAATTAATTAAAATTAATCATTGATGTTCTCTTTAGATATTTTTTTTATTAGTAATTTCCAAATTTTTTTAATTAGATTTAATTCTGGAGAAAATGGTGCCAAAAACAAACTATTAATTTACTTAAATCATTTTCCTTTCAAGATTACTCTAATATATTGAAAAATTATCAAAAATTATTACAAACGAAGAACTATTGTAAAATTTTTCAGTCTCGATGATCAACTGCGAATTCATATTAATTGGCATTTCCAAATTCAAATTTGATAACATTGAAACCTATTTGAACCAATAAATCAATTAATGCTGAGAATTTTTTTGTATTAAAATCATTTAAGATTTTTATTCTTCTTTTAATGACCAATGTTTAGTTTTTTTAGATTAATGAAAAAATGTTGTTTCATCAACAAATAGTAAATGATACTTCTTTAACGAAAAAGAATAATTTCAAATTAGATTTAAGTATAAAAGGTTTTCTTTGAGGATTAAAAAATACTTTCCCACAAATAGAAACTTACTTATACATACATGATTGGTTTACATGAACAATGAAACAATTTGTTCATCTAAATTAAATTTAAATTAAATTTTTTTCAAATTTGTTCAGCATTAGAAAGATCATCTCAAAGAATTCTTAATATCATATTTAAACCAATCTTAATGCTCTTAACTAATATAGAATAATTTTTTACATTTAATTTCTTACTTTATTATAAGTCTTTTTCCTTATAAATTATAGAACACTTAGAATATTCTCCAAATAAATTGATATGTAATCTTTTATTAAGCCAATTAAGCATTTTTCTTTATAACACTAAATTTATCTACTTTAATTTAGTTAGTTTTGAAAAATAAATTGAATTGAGACAAAGTGTATTTTAGTCAATTAAATTATAACAATCAGATTTGTATTGATAATGTTAGAGAATTAATCCTCCAGTTTAATTGGATTTGATAATTTATACTATTCATACCAAAATAGATTCTCTCCAATACGATTTTATGATTATCCTCCTCATCAAAGAAAAAGATGTCTTCAATTTTTGACATTAAGATCTTATAATTTTAATTAATATGACTTTAATTTTAATCTCAATCTTCTATTGATAAAATCTTCCTCTGGTTTAACTTCCAAAAAAAGTGTTGAAATATTAAATAGTTTTAGTTATATAAATAAATTTTTCATTTTATTTATGTAAGTATTGTTTGGTTTATTGATGAATAAAACATTTTTATTGAAACTCAAATTTAAAATTTTTTGATTAAAATTAATATTGCATGATTAATTAAAATTAAGATTTTTTTTTGAATAATTCAATTCACAAAAATATTTTATATAAAACATGGCAATTAAAATTAAAAAATTAAATAAACATGAAATTCGTTTAGGGCAATCAATTCCATGAAGAATTTAGTTCTAATAATATATAGCACACTTTATGTTAGGACATCTTATGAAAAGATTACTTATATGGAGGGGAATGCTTAGAATCTTATAATTATCCATAAATTTATAACTTAGACTTACATAAAATTTTTGCTTGACATATTATATTTTGTTTAAACATAATAATTGAGCTAAATTCATTTAGATTAACTAAATAACTAGAAATATAATAATATAAATCTAATCGAAAGAAAATGAAATAAAAAATTTCATTTCCTTATGATAAATTAAAATGCCAAAGGAATTATATTTATTTTTAAAAATGCAACTATAGAAAATTCGAATCTCGACTTAAATTGCAAATTGTATTTTTAGGAATATCTAATCAAATCACTAGAGGCTTAAGTTTAAGCCAAAATTTTTCTTAAGATTATGCTTTTAGTGTTTCAGAAGAACATAAAATTTGGTTGGATGAATATGTCAAGCTATAAAAATAAATTAAGTTCTATTTAGAATATTTACAATGATTTCATTACTTCAATCTATGTGATAATTACATAATAGAGATTTAAATATAATTTCTTAGTGGTAGACATGTTTGGAATTAAAAAAATAATTTTCTTTATTGTTTTTACATTTTATTACCATTAACAAACTAATAGTTTTATAAGTGGAAAAAAGCCATCCCGATCTTTTCAGATGATATCATTGAATAGAATAAATATTATTCATTTTTTAAGATAAAAAACTAAAATTAAACCAAACACTGCACTTTGTATATATATCTGATAAATTTCTTTAAGTATATTTGCATCTAAACTTATTAAGTTAGGATTAATATAATAAAATCTTATATATAATAAAGATATTCTAAAATTTTTCCAAGATTGAAACTAAAAAAAATTTTTCATTTTAGTAATGGGTCTTTAAGATATAAATAATTTATATGAGGAAAAAATCACCATTTACAAACCTAACCACCACTTATTAATAAGAAATCAAATGAGTTGTTCCAATTGCTCCATTTTTTTTAATAGCATTTTGTTATTTCCTCTTTTAAATACAGAAAGTTCCAAGTTATTTTAGTTTATAAATAAAAATTTGTAGATGATATAATTTATTATTTTTAAGAATACTAAACTCACTGCTTCTATTCTTTACTTATCATTGAAATATCTTATATTTGTGATATTTAAGTCTAAGTCATTGATGTCAATTTATTCTAATAATTTCTGATTTATTGTTCAATTTATTTGCACTCAGATTTCTATCTTCTCAGTTTTTATTTACTTGTGGTTAATTTTAATTATACACATCTCTACTTTTTTATCTGCTATTTGATGTACCGTTCAACGAAATAATTATAAATTCTTTTTCCTTCCTAAATATCAATCAAGCTATTTGAGAAGACTATTTAAGAAAAAAATTAAACCTTAAGTCATCTTTAGACAAGCCAATAACTTTATCATGATCTAAATACTATTTAAATACTTCATTGTTTTCATTTAAAGTGAACAAAACATTAATCTGGAAACCTTTTCTTATGAAAATCCTAAATTGAGATTTCTTTGCTTTGAAATTTTTTCAACTCATAATATAAATTTACTTTAGTGACTCTTTTCAATATATATCCAATTTTGACTTCATTACTTAAAATCCTAAAACATTTTCCAAGTGCTACATTCAACAGGTTTTCACAAGTTATTACAGAGGATGACAAATCTGGCATATAATAGTTTTTTAAAACTAAAGCAATATACATAGATTTCACTAAACCAACCACTTAATTTGCTTTTCATATTTAGCATGTATTCTAAAATATAATAATTGGAAAATAAATAAATAATAATGGATTAGACTACTTTTAACAAGCGAATGATGAATGTTTTGAATGCTGTTATCATTTTTTTATGTATTTAAAAAACAAATATTATCTCAAAAAATGAATTATTGTTCCACAAAATAGGTTTTACATACATCCATGATTATTATGAATAAAAATGTTTGAATTGTGAATTCAATAATTGAAATGTAAAATTTTAAAACTACATTAAATCCTAATCATAAATTGTTTGAATAGTATTCTTCTACAAGCCAACCTCAGTTTAGATAATAAAATTAAGTCTTTATTAGTATAATCTAGGGCTATTGAAACTTTAGACACTTCATTTGGAAAATAAACTAAGGAAGATTTTTCAAAAGATCACTAGAATAGTGAATCATAAAATTTAAATTAAAGTCATGTTTAATTTCAAATATTCAATTTGGGGCTCATATAATAATGTTTATATTTACAAATGAAGTATGATTAATAAGATGTAAAAAAATTTTGGCAAAATAAGTTACTGATTTATCACTTGATTTCAAGGAAAATTGAATCTCAAATTATTTTAAATATCTTAAGTTAAATCAATGATAAATAATATAACAAAAATTTAATATCTTAACATATCAAGTTTCTTTATTTTTTTTCAATAGAATGTTATTTTTGATTTGGATATATATTTACAGTTGAAACTCTAAATTAAATTGTCATGAATTTTTATTAAACTTCTTCTTTTGATGTTGTAAAATTTTAATAATAATAATAATCTTAAAATCAATTTTATTCATCAAATTTACATTCATCATATTAGTTTTATTAGCTCTTTTCAATAATAAAAAAATCTGCTTAAATTTCTGTTCATAAAATTTAAATATCTTATTTATTAAATTTCTTATTTATTAATTTAATAGAAATAGGAATGAATACCTACTAACAATTAGTCAATTCTGTTGTAGTAGCACCAACAAATGAATATCCTAAAAGAGAATTTATATTAACAAAGCTTTTTGGAGTTGGAAATGAGGGAGCAGCATATTTTGCTACTGCTTATAATTGGGGTAATAATCCTAAACAAGTTTCCCTTAAATTACAAAATAATATGAAATAAAATTAGAAATAGTTTATATAAAGCCTAATAGAATAACAAAATACTTATGAGAAAGGAAACAATTAACAATACCTCCCCAGTAATATAATCAGAATCTATGAATATTTTGAATGGGAATCTTACAATTGCATTATTATGGAAGAAGGCTCAGAAAGTTTATATGATTACATAGCTAAAAATAACAATTAATCCATAGATGACAAAATAAAAATATGTTTTTAAGTAATAATTTAATTTTTAAAAAACTTATAGATAATTCAACCAATCCATTTTTTACATAAATAAAAATTAATCCATCGAGATATCAGGCCAGAAAATTATATAAAAGTAGGAGATAATTTTAAATTAATTGACTTTGGATTGGTTCAAGGTTCTGCCCCTTTCGACTTAAAAACTTAACCAGTTGGCACATTAATATTTCAAGCACCAGAACTTATAGAATCATAGAATAATTTTACAGAAAAAGTAGATATCTGGGCGTTGGCATGCGTATTTTACGAAGTATTATCTTTTAAATCATTATTTGTTGGTATACTAAATTTATATTTTTAGGATAAACTTTCAATTAAATAAGCATTTAAATAAAAAAACATAAAACTGACCTCGCCTGGGTTCATAATAAAATAAATTAATTATAAACTCCAGAAGAGATTAAAAAATTGATAATATCAATGTTGAATTATACTGATAAAGAACGACCTTCAATAGATAAGGTTTGTGATGAGTTTTAAAAATACTTAAATAAAAATAATATTGCTTAATAAGTTGCAAATAATCAATCAACTCTTACAAGTCCTGCAAATCAATAACCATTTTAAGGTAACTTAACTGAAGCATAAATAATAAAACTTATTGAAGACAAATATGAATCAAAGATTTAATTTTTAAAAGTTTAAAAAGAAACTTTTAAAAAATAAATTGACTCTTAGTAAAATGAAATAGACTAACTAAAATTGTAATTATAAGCGGCACCTGATATTAATTTAAACAAATTAAGTGAACCATAAATAACAAAACTTATTGAAAATAAATGCTAATCAATAATTTTAAAATTATTAGAAGTTTAAAAAGAAATTCATGAAAAATAAATTGAGTCTTAATAAAATGAAATAAACCAACTTAAATTGTAGTCAAAAGATTAAGACAACAAGATAGAATAATTATAATAATATATCTAATAATAATAATAATAATAATAAGAATAATAGATCTAATAATAATGTTAATAAAATTAATAGATCTAATAATAATAATAGATCTAAGATAATAAATTTAAAATTGAAGCGCCTAATTCTAAATTTGTTAATAGAAAATTCGAATTAATAAATAAACTTGGAGAAGGAGCACAAGGATCTGTATATTTAGCTAAATCAATAAATTGGGGATTATTTGATTAAAAATAATATGCCTTAAAATTCTAACAAATTACTAACGATAATGAAACTCAATTTATCGATAACCTTATATAATATCAGAATCAATATGAAAATCAATTTAATATAGATTAATAAAATAATTAACCATCTGGGTTAATTAGAATTTATGAAAGATTTAAATGGTAAGGCTATGATGTTCTGATAATGGAAAAAGGAGAAATAGATTTATAACAATTCATTAATGAATAAAAATAATTAACATTTCAATAGAAACTTGAGATTTTAATTTAGGTAATATTTATTATTATTTTATATTAGATATCTTAATCTATATAATTTTTACATAAATAATAATTAATACATAGAGACATTAAACCTGAAAATTTTATTAAAATAGGTAATTAATTTAAACTTATTGATTTTGGATTAATAAGATTTAATGATTAAATAAATTTAACTAAAAGACCTGGTACAACTTAATATTCAGCGCCTGAAATCATAGAGTGTCAAAAAGTTTACACTTTGCTTGCAGATGTTTGGTCTCTTGGATGCGTATTTTATGAAATTCTATAAAATTAATAATTATTTACAGGTTAGTATATTTATATTACAATATAGGAGAAAGTGAGAATAAAGCAAAATAATAAATTAAAAATTCAGATTATTTGACTAAAAAAATAAATTAACTATAAGCAAATGAATAAATGAAAAGTTTAATGAAAAAAATGCTCAATCCAAATTTTTAATAAAGAATCTAAATAAATGAAATAGTGTAAACTTTATAGAATATGGAGCGCAGTATATATACAATTGTTTAATAAAATTTCCCTTTTGTTAAATAGATAAATATACAAAATAATTAAGAATAAACATTAAAAAACAATTTAATTTAATTTCCAATTTAGAAAGCAAGTCCTTGTTAATTTAAATGATTGATTATTAAATTATTAACTTCAAGCTCAATTTTATTTATTTATAATTTTTATAATACAAGCAAATTATATATCATCAATGCTTTTGTAATTTTTGATTGTATGATATACTGGGGCGTTGTATTGTGAGTTTTTATTAGTAAATCATCCATCAAAATTACAACAGCAACATCGTAATCTTCAAATTCATTAGATCATTATTTTATACTTAAGATATTAATAAAAATACTATTATCATGAACCAGGTAGATAATTATATAAGAAAATATGACTCTGTGGATAAAAATAAATAATCCTTCTTTAAAAAATAATTATATTTAAATAAAAATTGAGTTTTTAGATAGTCAATAAAATCAAATTATTCTTACGAAAATTTAATTCAGAAAGTTCAGAGATGAGATTAATATACAATTTAGCTGGGTTGAAGAATTGTAATAATCTAATAATCACTAATATAATGTTAAGGAAGGTGAATTCTTCAAAAGATATGAAATTACAAAGAGACATAACTAAGGATTTATAGATATTTTTTAGAGGAGATAGGTTGAAAATACGAAATTTTATCAGATAAGATTAGAATTCAAACAAATCTAAATAGATTTCATTATTTATCCCAAATAAAAAACTTAGCTAATTATGATCATTAATTATAAAAGATTTAGGATTAACGATTTACACACTTTTAAAAGAGTGCTTAAATACAAATATTGTTGATAAAAAAAAAATTTAAAACAAAGTAAAAATTTATTAATTCAAGTCTGTTCTATCAAATTTATACAATAGAATCTTCGCTTCATTTCAATTAAACATATTCTCACATTTTTTTTTTAATTATTTTATAATTAGCAACCCAAAAAAAGCAGAAAACTGAGATGACAAAATTATAAACTGTTGTAGATATAATAATAATAATATTATTACGGATTAAAGACGGTTTAAAAAGTTAAGTCTAATGTAAGGTATTAAGTAATAATAACCTTTACCTTATATTACTTCCCTTATATTTCAATTGTTTTGAATCTCTAAACCTTTTTTTTAATATCACTTATATCAAATAATTTGTGTTTAAATTGTAATTAAGATTATTAATAGATTTTAGATAGTTTCTTCCTAATATTTCATTTGATTTTTCCTAGTTATATGAAAATTTAATAATATACTATAAGCAAATATTAATTGATTTAAAAATCCCAAATTTATAAATTTAATTGAATCTTTATTTATAAAGTTTAATTTATGGATTTGCAATTTAAATTATATTATTAGAACAAAATATATTAAAGATTATGATAATGAAAATTTATAATTAGAACAATCACAGTATTTATCCAGTTATTTCTTCTTAGATAATCTACATTTTGTTAAGTTTCTTAATAGATTCAAGTCATTCATATGGGACATGTTATCTAATAACATCTAGATCGAATTTAATTTTAGTTTTTCGTTAATGTTGAATACCTATCCATTTAATTATTGTTTAATCCTTAATATTTACATTCTTGAATATATATTATGTTGCCAACTTTGAATTATTCTTTTTTTCAATTTCAAACTATTTTTTAGTTTTAATTCAACTTGAGTTATTCCATTTTTTTTTTTAAATTTAATCATCTTTTAAGGATAAGAGCTTTACTCATAATTAAGTTCACCAACATCTTCTCTAATTCCTAAAATATTTGAATTTGGTACTCTCATATGTTAAATATTCAATTCTTCTTAATCCAGTTTACTTAGTAATCTGTAAGTTTAATTCTAAAAAGGAATACGTCTTAACACATTCTGTTCAATTTCATAATTTCTAAATCTGTACCATCTACCTTTTCTAAAAGATTTTTAACAAGGACCTTTAACCCATTTTAAATAAACAAAAAGGATTTATTTTTGAGCAAACCTAAATTTTAATATTTTCATACTTCTTCCTTGTTTATCTTTTATTTCCTTTACAATATTTATATAATCTAAATAAAGAGGATTTTCCATTTTATTATATATGAATAATATACAAAAATTCAGTTTTATATT